GTCAATATGTCCCTTCACACCACAGTTTCTCCCTTCTATCCGTACTTTTGTACATAAACTTTGCTTTTGTGGATACATATGTAATTTTTGCCATATATATATACACTGAAATTCGTACAAATGAAATGTAAAAGTGTTGAGCACATGAAATATCTAAAAAGTTTCAGCAAGAAGAATTGAGTTGAATTCAGAAAGTTTTTCCTTTTTTCTCATATAGATTTCCAGCATTGCGTCGTGATTTTTGGTGCAAAAAGTCGCACAAATATTGGGGCGGTTATGCGGAAATTCACAGCTTGAGTGTCGCGCGATAAATTTTTCCACGGCATTTGCAAGTTCTGTTGTTACAGTTTTTTTTTCAGTTGGGTAGATCGTGAAAGAGGAAGAGGCAATTATTAACGATGAAATGAAAGGCTTGTTTTGCCATAACTCACAGTTCGTTCATAAATTAGCGCAATGTTTCCTTTCCAATATTCCTGGATCATTTATAGCGCCACAGCGCCAATGTGTGTTTCTCCTTTGTTGAACTTCTCACCTCAATTGAGGCAGTGACCGTCACATTGGAAAGCACGTGAGTGGCTGCATTTGTGGGCGATATCGGTTCAGTCACTTCGTTAGAGGCTGACAACTTGACAAACGTATGCCTGGTGAGGTCCACACTTCCTTGAAGGTGGTCCGACAAAGAGGAGCCCCGAGAGCACCACTAATTTCGTTCACTTGGTGACAATGGCAATAATAAATAAGACAAACCCTCAGGGCGAATGCCTGACTTGCCATGCATGTACCTTCCTCTGTAATGACATTGTCAGCCCAGAGAGAAAGGGAGAGAGAGAGTGAGGACATTATCTAATTTACATTGTATTCTGCCTAACAATAAACCCCTTTTGCCAGGGATGGCGAGAGGAAAGGGAGACTTTTGGGGGGCTGTTGGATTACTTGTAATTCTGAGATGAAAACATGTTTTGTTGCACAACTTGATTTCCAATTCCAGTTCAAAGTCACGCAGTTCATAAATGTGACGTGTCAATTAGAGTTGCAAATTGCATAGACGATTATTATTGTAATGTTCCACATGCGGTGGATGCCATTGTCCTTCGGATCATATGCACACCGCATGTATAAGAAAGTTCTGTCCTCCAGTTCATCAACTCTGCCGATGACTACCAGAGCCAACAATGCTTGTCGCGCACCACTCCTTTTTTCTCACTTTGAAAGCATACCTGAGGTGCCATTGTGAGGACAAATAAATTGTATACCAATTTTCATGTGTGTCTCACTGCGATAAAATAGTATTTAATATGAAGTGTGTGTTTATTTGACGAACCGCAGATGAGAGAGGAGTGGATGAGGAAAAGTGGAGGAGAGAAACGCGGGCAATGAATTTAAATTGAGCTCCAAAAGGTATTATTATGATTATTATTGATTTTTAGTGGGCACACATTTACAATTGGAACACTATACAAGGTGTGCCCCTTAATTACTAATCTCCTTCACGCACTCACACATCATGATGGATATTTACATGCAAGATTTTCGCTCTGTGTGGCGTTAACCCTTCATTAGGAGGTCTTCTGGTTTTCGTGCCAAAATAACTTTGTGATTAATTTCATGATTTGTCACTTTAGCGATGGTTGCTCACAAATGCATTAATTTTAGAGACAAGTAGGCAAAACGAAGGGATTCCATCCACCATTCCACTGAAGCCAAATAATGCAAATATTGCTGTGGAAGAGGATTTTCTCATTTCAACATTGTTGGCACTCAAAGTCACTGACTTGAGATGTTGCAAGCGACACAATATTAAGGATCCCAGAGACTTCCACTGCCATATATATTTAAATTGAATTGTTTGGTTGTTCTGCTTCCGGTCGGAGAAATTTTCAACTTGTGCACAAAATGTCGAATTTTACAAGAAATCCGCCAGAAGAGCACAGTGAATGGGGAGAAGAGGAACAATAAGATAAATTTCCTCTGCACTCACTTCCGTTCTATCTGCTTTCATAGTGAAAAAGTATATATAAGAAGGAAACTTGGAAGATTTATATCCTTGTGAAAAGAAAGGAAATGCATTTTGCCTTAAACACTGTTTGAAAATCTAATTTGCCAAAAGGCATTTGCGATTAGTGTGTTATTTTTGGACGTTTCTAACTAGATTCTGAAGATTTTATGAAAATGTTTATTTTAAATGTTTAGAAGTTAATGTAGAATTAATTGCATCGTGCTTTCGTAATCCTTAAATCACTTCATGGTGATTTGCAGTGATTTTTCAGAGTGCTAATTTAAAATTCTCCCCCAAACGGTGGCACTTGTATTTCTTTTTCTGCTCCAAACCATGAAATCCATGAATTTTTCAATGTCCTTAAACTTATTACCATTTTAATGGAAAGTTCCCATGCTTCGTGTTGCTTTCATACACACAGTCGTGTGGAAATGCAAAAAAAAAATTGTTTCCGTAATTATTAAAATTTCCAATAAAATCTTCTTCTAGTATTTCAGAAAGTTTTGTTCTTTGTTGAACATTTTGTGTGTTTGTGCCATCGTTAAAAGTTGTTTAAAGCAAATGAAAAGACACGGGTATTTAATTTATTTCCCAATGACAGTGGGATAGTCTCAGGTTGCGAAAAGTGGTGATTTTCGACACTCTGTCCAAGGAGCTGTCCATTAATTCATTGACTGGATAAGTGGTACACATGTGCAGACGGGAGTTGACACAGTTTTAATTATGGGATTAAATTTCTCAATGGCTTTCCGCTGTGAGAACCCTTTGTGAGCTTTTCCCAGCTCAACCCTTCTCGGACCACGGAGCTCTTCTCGCAATATTTGAAGGGATTGTGAAGGATGCTGATGATGTGAAAATGAATAAAAGATCCCCTGGATGGAAAGATAATCAATTCTGCTCTTTCACCTCGTGCCCATCACCCGTTCACGATGGACTTGGCGAAGCTCCAGGGTGGCCGGCGAAGAGCTTTACGCTAAAAGGAAGACATATAAAATTTATGTGACATTGTAAAAGGGAGATTGTGTAAAATTTTTGAAGTGATGCTGTCTCTTAAGAGCCACACAACATTTCCCTTTCCCTTTGAAAATTATATGAATTTTTTTTGCTGTCTAAATTTCAAAGCATCGTGAAGCTGTATTTGGGAAATCTGTCTGTATATCCCTAAATAGATATTCCATAAAACAGTTGGTTATATCACGAGCACAACTCCTTGATTTTCCATTTGTCAAGAAGTGTATGTGCACGCAAAGCCTCGCAGAGCTGCTAAACTGACAGCTTGACTGTCATTAAATTCTCATTGGGAAATGTGACTTTGGGAAAAAGAGGGATTTTCATGAAAATACCATCCATATTACCACAATTCTCGCCGCATTCTCGTGGGAGAATACACATTGAGAGGTATCAAAAATATGCCACTCTCTCTCTCCTCAAGATGTGATGGATCTGATTTACACTGCCACTCAGTGCAATCATTTCATGTGACTGTGATTTCCATATCCTTTTTACGCGATATTTCACCCGCACTAAATATTTCTGGGCGCCATGAAGAGACGCAGATTGTTCCGTGGGAATTTTATTTGGGCATAAAAAGCAGGGCTCCCACCGTCATAAAGTTGCCCATTTAATGGTTTTCTCACTCGCACAGAGCGACGTGGTTGTGGTCTATGGACTAAATATAGAATGAAAATATTCCCAAAGAGTTGTGGAATCTATTGATTATTAATAGTGGAGCAATAATTCTTTGTTAATTGCACATGATTTCCCACTGGAACATATTGCTCTTTGCTGTCCCTCGGACGCTCTACTGCGTAAATCAATCAATCTTCGCCAGTGATTCTCGTATCTGACCCACATCCGGAGTCGATTTGCACGTATAGAGTGAATTTCCGACAAAGAGGTGAATGAGATGAGGGGGAGAGATGTGATGTGGGTGGATCTGAGGGAATAATTAAATAGGGCATTGGACCCATCTGTTACGGGAGGAATAAATTTTTGGGCACACTATAAATTTCCATTCGATTTGGCATCCATCCCACCTCTGCCCACCCATTTAACTCTTGCACAAGTTCACGTTTTTCACTCTCCTCTTATCGCTCTTTTTCGATGTGGAGTTCCTCTCTGGCTTTTTTTCTTTGGAGCTTGAAACGCCGTGCGTGTGATATTTTGAGTTATGACAGTGAAAAATGATATTGAATAGCCCTCCTGAGGCTAAACTCGTTGGGCTGATGCCAAGCAAAATGCCGCCCAATTATCTGCTATACTGCCTGTGCATTTAATACAATGCATACGTTTGCATTTTTATCGAAAATGCATATATAGGGGATAAAAGAGTTAATTCCACAAAGAGTGGAAAGAACAACAACATTTTTCTCAGTGCGTCAACATGGCTTTTATCTCTCTAAATGGAATATAGGGGTTGATGCTAAGATGTGAGATTGTCTTTTGACTCTGTCTTCTGCCTAATTCAATGAATTTTCCTTCTGTTGTACATAACCGCGAAACAAATTAAAGTTGGGTAATTGCCTTTTGGGCAAAAGTTTTATTCGATTGAGGGTATAATCTCTTGTCAACATCGATATGCGCCTTCCTCGCTTGGTGGATGGTGGTGAGAGACAATATTATACTGGGTGTGTACGTGCTCCTCTCATAGCTATTATTGCTTATTTCTTCTTCTTCTAACCATCTCCGAAGGGGCCCATCCAGAGCACTTCAGGAGAGGCAGAAAGTGGATGATTCGGTTGTCTGAAAATGCCATAAGACTGCTGTTTAGAGATGGATAAATGTGTCAATTCGAAGGCGATGCAGCACACACGACTTTCCTCGGCATTGAAGACTTAAGAAGGGTAGACAAAGTGGACAGTATTTAGTTGGATTGCCGGTTGTTTTCTCACCTCTGACGCAGAGAGAGCGAGAGAGCATCCGTTTGGCCCGGCGAAGGCGGGCGCGTCACGAGTTCGTGGGATCATCTCTGCGAAGTCTCTGGCCGCAGCAGAGACCACCGAGGAACAGGAGCACAGACTCTCACCTGCCATCATGTTCACGTGTCTGTGGCAATTGTGGGATTGGTAAGAGAAGACTGAAGAAAAAAAATATTTGGTGTGTTGCATGGTTTTGTTTGTCGTGTTTATCCCGTCTTGAATTTGCCTTCCGACGCCGGAGAAGAAATCTCCGCTGAAACCATCTTTTTTTTCTCTCCTGGGTGATGATAAATTATTCATTTGCATATCTCTGTGGTATTGTTTTTTTCTTGCCTTGGCGTTTGAAAATTTTTTCTTATGCATATTTATACTTTTTTTTCCTGATTTGCATACTTTTTGGTTGACTTTCTTTTGCGGTGTGTCTTTTTCTGTGTGTGTGTGTTTTTGAGTATATTTGCCGATCTCATGTTCATTAAGAAGTGTTTTGTTGTGGATAGAAGTCTCTAAGATGGGTGCAAAAACACTTTTGCTCCACAAAACTTTCTCATTTTCATCGTGAACAAATTTTGAGCTACGAAATATATATGTATTAAGTCTCCTGCCACACTTCACTTTCATTTTGCGTATTGGCGTCTTTCGCCCCTGAGACGCCTATTAAAGTGGTTTAATATTAGTGGCGTATGATAGCCACGGAAAATTGCAATTTAATCCATCGCGGTTGCCTTTTTTGCATTTTGCCGTGGCAAAGTATGATGTTGAAACGCCCAACTTTAACTATCGATTTCCCGCTGAAAAATCATTAGCATCCCTATTAGCAACACTATGCAAATTGATGCAGAGGTGCAAAAAAAGCAAGACTCACCGAGGCAATTATGCAATTTCCGGCGTAAACAGCACTCTCAAGTGGTTCGATGGTAGCAATTTCTGCTACTAAGATGCCATGGATGAGTCACGAGGGTTCGTTCCCTTTCGCATAGCTCGAGAGACACTATCCTGTTGTATATATATGTATGTAAATAGCAATTCTGTGTGGAGGAATCACATCCCGAAGAGTCAATTTACCAGGAAAGCACATCAATTCTCCTTGCTCTGGAAATTAATGGAGGAAAATTGTCTCGCAGAAGAAGTGGTTTACTTAATTGAAGTTGTCGTTCTCAGTGGATTTTCTCTGGTGATATCATGCGGAGAAATGCAATTTAATTGAATTTAAACCCCTGTAATGTCCAAGAAGGATTCTGTGGAAAGATTGCACACTATTTATATTGCCATCAAGACTACCTTCACGCTCTCTTATAAGACAATGTTTCTCGATTGCCATAGTGACTGTGGTAGAATTCAAGCGGTTAAAAATGCCAAGACGGGAAATTAATATTAACGAAATCCATAAATTCCAGTTGATTAATCGAGAAGTAGGCGTGTAAATTGGGATTTCCCTGAAGATCACGATTTAAATTTAAAGCTCATATCAGTCAATTTGTTTGTAATCTTCAAAGGATGAATATATAATAACAATCGACTGATGTTTCAAAGCAAATGCGCAGAGTTTGTCGGTTGAGAGCGAACCCTAAACGTGAAGTGAATGCATGTAAAATGACACTCTGACTCTTATCTCTGGAGATAATTTTCAGCAAGAGGGGTTGAATTTCATGAGGAATGCAGACGAGATGCTTTTGAGTCATCATCATGACTGCCGTTGGACATAAGTGAGAACACTTGGCGGCAAAGGTGCAAAAAGCCCCCAGTGAAAGAGAGTCAATAAAGTGAAAGAGAAACTTGCTAATGCTGCGCGTGTAATTTCATAAAACTAGTCTCAAACTTATTTAATTTTAATTTATACCTGTGCGCGCAATATCAAGAGCAAAAACCAGTGCTGTTAGCATTAGAGGCATAGGCGGGCGCGCGCGCGAGGGACAAGTTGGGTGAAAAAAGGCATCTCTCGTGAAGACAATTGCACGTAATTCTTGTGATCATTGAGTCTCATTAAATTGAAGCCTGGGGGATATAAATCCCATTTCTTTTAGCATTTTACTCTCTGAGGAGAGAGAGAGGATGCTGCGTGGAGGGAGGAAAGAGATAAAAACATGGCGAGTATTTAGTTCTTCGACCTCTTTGATGCTCCATCGGTATCTTTTTACCTACAATTGCGCGCACCTCTTTTTGCCCGCCACACATCGTCATTTCACGCAATTGAGCAAAACCTTTCCGCCGCGCGAAAAACATATATACACTCCGGCGGTGGACGCTTTTTATACCTATCTTCAGCTCCTCTCCTCCAGACAATAACACCCGAAGACGTGTGGCGGAGAGAGGAGCAGAGAGGCGCGCATGGGATATAGAACGAGCGTACTAAAATTATGTTTTATTAATAAAAGAAGAATAAATAGAAGGGTACGCGAAGCAATGCTCAATTGCATAACACGTTCGCGGAGACAACATAAGAAATACGCGCACGGTGGAATCATCGAGTGTGTGGGTCGTGGGAATTACCTATTTCCAGTAGAATTTTCTCCATTGGAGTTACAACAGACTTTATCTCTCTACTATATCTCACCGTTTTTTTCTCCCACGTACGAAAGTGTCTCTCAAATTTATATCTCCTTGTCATGCTTTGTCACGTTGATTGCTTCGAATGGTGAATTTTGCCAATTTCAGAATGAAGATAAATTAAAAAAAATCATGAGATTTTCTATTCATTTCTATATAATTTTGCATCTTGATTGCTTTGATGTTAATTTCATACAATCGCATTGCTTAATCTCTTCTCAATTGTCCTATGTTCTCCCTTTTGTGTGTCTCTCCAGGCTGGATCCTCCGCCACTCTTCACCACCGCCACGATGGAGAACAAGAAGTTGCAGCAACTACAGCAAGCCAATGCGCACATGGCTGCACAATCGATGCCCCAAACCAAGGCGCCATCATATCACACGGCAGCAGGTGATTATCGACCACAGCACTCGCCAGTCTTCCAGAATCACCCGCAATATCAGAGTCTGTCGTCGAACTTCGCGCAGATCAACATGACGACTCATCAGCCGCCACATCTTCACGTGAAGCCCATTGGGTCTAACGCCCAGTACGGCGGAACGGGCTTCAGCCAGGCTCAGTCTCCGCCGCAGCATCTCAACCACTATCACGGCGAGCAGCTGTACCAGAACAACACCAGGGAGAGGGTGTATGGGCAGACGCCACTGAGGCAACACTTTGCCCAGGCTCACCAGCACATTAATCCCTCGACGCAGCTTCAGCAGCAGTATCAGCAGCTGCAGCAGGCAAAGCTGCAAGCTCAGTTGCAGACCCAGAGTGATGCTCTGTTGCAGCAGCAGCGCACTTTTGCCATGCGACAGCAGCTCAATCCACCGATAGCACACTACCATATGCAGAGTCAGACGTCTCTGAATCAGATCCCCGTGCAGGTGCAGCCACAATCTCAGTCCATGCATCGAAGTGCCCCGCCATCGAGTCTCAATCTGACTAATCAATTCCAGCCAGCAGGAACTGGAAAGCTTCCACCGGACTCGCACTATGGGACAACGCAATCTCTTGGGAGTCAATTATCTCCTCAATCAAGTACGTATACATTCTGTAAATTACATCTGTCTTTTTCATCTAACAAACTAACAAACCCAAATGCTGTATTTTAGCTCTAATGAATGCTGCTTTGCTGCAAAACCACAAAGCCCAGAGTCAGGCAATCTACCAGCAGAATCAACTCATACAGCAGCAAATGATTCAGAACAAGTTGCAATTGCAGCATCAGCTGAAGAGTCCGCAGGATCAGATTATTATACAGCAGAATAATCCGGGATCGGTGATGAATCAGGCTTGTCAAACTCAGATCTCAGGCCAAGTGCCGAAGGGGAAGCAACTACAGAATGCCGATAAGACACCATCACCTTCCCACGCGCCACTGGATAGGAAGAAGAGTGGTGGCACACCAATCGCCCTGAAATCCCCCATAACCAAGCGTCACGCCTCGTCTCCCGTGACATTATCAGGCTGGCTATACAAGCAAGGCTCAGATGGACTGAAAGTGTGGCGAAAGCGATGGTTCGTCCTATCTGAGTATTGCTTATTTTACTACAAAGGCCCCGAAGAGGAGAAACTGCTGGGCTCAATTCTTTTGCCGTCTTATCGCGTGGCCGCATGTTCGCCTGAGGATAAGATATACAGAAAGTTCGCCTTTAAGTGCGAACACGTCAACATGCGCACATATTGGCTGTCTGCCGAGACAGCAGAATCAATGGGTCAGTGGATTAGGGCTCTGATTGCCGCCACAATGATGCAGTGCAGCAGTGAGTCGGATCAGACGCCTCAGCCCAGCGTGTCATCGTCACAGAATCCGAGTGGCGAGAACAGTGACTCGGGCATTCACACGTATCAGAGCCAGCAGAGCAAGATGAGTCTCCCTGTTGGCCATGGACCTCTGACGCCGGCGTCCGATGGCATGGGCGGCGGAAGCAGTGCTGGAGGAAGTGCAACCGGCGGAGGACCTCAGCCTCTCTACGCCAACGCCCCGCCCAAGCCAAAAAGAGCAAACGACGGAGGATACTCATCGCCAAGTCCTGAACATTCAGTGGAAAGGTAAGCTTTTCAGTTTTTATCACGCTTTAAGTGATGATTTACAACTTCTGCCCACATGAAATTTGTGAATCATCTTGATTAATCCAAGATTCATCAGTCTTGAGTGATAGTTTGCTTATTTTCACGTCTATTAAAATTTCTGCCTTGTATATTTACAAGAGATGTGTTAAAGAGGACTATTTTTAAAGTGTTTTTTCTGTGATAATAAATTTTATGTGTTGAACTGAGACGTAAATTGAAAAGCGTGTGCTTCCCATGTAAATCAGCATCAAATGCACTTTTTGTCTATGCATAAATCAAACTCACGACTTTGATGTGTTCAATCACAATTCAATTTTCCTGCAGATATGATGGAAATTTCGAAGCGCATCATTTGGATGCGAATCAGAGGCGAATGGATGTGAAGTCTCCGCTGAGCCATCAATCGCCCGATTCGCTGTATGAAGTGCGTCGGCAAATGACCAAGTCACCGGATCCAGCCCTGGCATCGCGGATGCAACAAGTGCGGCTGGAGGGCAGTAAATCACCGAATCCCGGACAGCAAGTGAGATCGCCGTATCCGGCTGAGAGTGGCTATGGTCAGGAGTTGAGTCAGAGTCTGCTGATGCGACAGCCCATGGAGGAAGTGTACGGCGGTCGGGAGAACATCATCAGAGCGCCACACAGATTTGACGACTTCACAGGCAGACAGATTTACGGCGAGACCGCGGATCGGGAGATGCAACTGAGGATGGCGCAGCAGAAGTACCATCAAGCGCAAGTGGCGGGTCAGCAGGCGCTGTATCCCAACAATGAGCGTCGCACGCCCGACACATACGGACGCTCGAGATCCGGCCAGGGTGAGCGCCGGAATTTCTCCGACTACGAAGATATCTACAATCTGCAGCAGCAAGCGCTGGGCGATTTGGGCTCCTACAGGCGTCCCATGAGTCCCATCGGTTACCAGAATGCCAGCAAGAGTGTGTCCGGTCGATATACACCGAATTATCTCGAGGTGAGTTGATTGTTGATGCGCGCGGATTAATTGAAATCACTCAATCAGCAAATTGTCACTGATTTTTTGTTCACTGCACTCACATTAAAATATTGATGAGATTGGGTGAAAGAGTGTAGATAATTTCATTGTGATAATATTTGAGAATTGTTTCACATGGTGAAATGTGCACGGATTTTAATTGATTGTCCGTTTGAATTGCCCGAGTAATGATTTTCGTGAGTAATATAGTTGGGAGGGAAATTGAATATTTGGGAAGACTATGAGCCCGAGGATGTGTAGCTTAATTAGACTTTTGGTATTTGGGTCACGCAAATTGATAGCAATTTTGCCGACAGGGTTGAATTTTGATTCATTTTCGTGAATTTACAACACAGCACATTATGAGCAAAACTTTTAGTCCTCCTCATTCCCTCAATCTCATTCAGCCAGTGAATTTACAGATAAAAAAAAGTTCACCATTTTCATGCAAATCATAAATTCTCTTTAATGACTTTATGTGCCTTTTTGGTTTGTGTGAATTTCTGTAGCCCAACACGGCCGCCCAGCATGTGCAGATGCGCGCCCGTCCCGTTCAGTCCACTCTCATGCCCAGACCTCATTCTGCGGACTTTCTGGAGTACGAGGCGAGGAATGCCGAAGCTGCCCAGATGCAAGCTGAACCGGCACGAGCGCCACGGCCAAAGTCCAGCTTGGACATCAATCGTGGTCCGGATTATTACTACTCGGAGGCGAGCTATGCTGAGAAGCTGCGACAGAGCGCTCTGTATCAGGCCAAGCCTGCCACGATGCCGCTGAGATACACCGGCAATCCCTTCGCCGCTGACATGGCGGTCAGCACGATGCCCAGAGAGGCGGAGTACGGTCAGTTTGGACAGCGAGCGTACAGGCAGCAGCTGCAGAAGGGCTTCCTGAGTCCGCAGCAGGATCAGTTCCTGCGGTCGGCCAGTGCGAGACTGCCCAGGAAGGAGGAGGAGGCCAATGGCAGGGACAGTGAGCGCCGGCGGGAGGAGTCGATGAAGAGGCTGCTGGAGTGGAAGCAGCGAATGCTCCAGTCGCCACTCACGCGCAAAGGTGCCACTCTGTCTGCCACCTCGACCATGACTCAACCCAAGTCTCCGGTCCCAATGAACGCCGGGCTCCAGAGGAGCCGATCAGAGACCCACGCCAATGCCGGCTACAACAGCTACTCATCAGACGACGAAGGTGAGTCCCTGCCTTCGCTTTCTTTGCACCTTCTCCCCATTCTTCTCTTTAACCAAATGTCTCACCTCCGGTGATTTATGTTTTTCTTATGTTGTGTGTGTATCTCTGTGATTATTTTGTCGATTTGTACATTTGCTCGTGGACCTTTTTTCGCTGCTTCTGGGCGGTTCTCACCTGAGAAGCAGCCAAATAGCGCATGAGATATTATTCAGCAATAACCATGACGAGAGCGGTGATAAATGACTACAAAGTTTTCCATTCAATTTTCAAATGCCGGGAAACTATGTAATTTCTTCGTGGGTTATTTATGGCAAATAAGTAAGTTAGTAATTTGTAGCAATTTTTGAAAAATGATTTCATCGATTTTCACGGAGTTTTGAGAGTGTTGAATAAATAAAAGTTTTCTGTGGCAAAGAACACAGAGAGAGAGAAAGAGAGGAAAAGAATTTTTGACGCTATGAGGGAATTATTATGGAAATTCTTCTCAAAGGCTAAACTTTAGTAGTCATTTAACCCCAATGAAAAAAAATTCATCCTCTGTCTCACAAAAGCATTGCTGAAATAATACAGACAGAGAGAAGGAGAGAGATTAGAGTTGTACTTTTGAGGGTTGTGGTATAATTTAGCTTTTTCCCTTTGACTCATAAGCCAAGCACAAACTATTCAATGTTTTTCTCTAATGCTGCATTTTGGTATTTATTCATTATACGTTATATAATTTAGTTTCTTAGCCTCTTAGCCATTAATATCTATGTGTGTGCATATCTCTCTGTCTCTTCCTTCGCCTCACAATATGAAAATTTGTATGTACGATGTGTGTTAGACAAAATCACAATCTTCTTTCCAGATTTAATATTACCGATCCAATATAATTCACTTGTGTGTCACCAAAAATGACAAGCAACGGGCACAAAAAATGCGCGAAATTCTACATTCACGTGTGGAATGTTTCGCAGAATCTCTTTTTCTTTTTGTTGATATTGATTTCATTGTACTGTACATACGAATTTTCGTATGTCTCTTTGGAGGTGTCTTTATTTTGAGTGTAGAAACTTCTATTTAAACAAAATTGAGAATATCAGTCGGTAATACCTTCCTGCCGAGCGTAAAACCATATATCAAAGAATCCTCTTTACCTCTTGCCTCTCACCAGTAACACAGAATTGGACAGCATTAACAGGTTAATAAAATAGAAAAATTCTTCGAGGTGGGGTTTAATTGTGTGTCTTCACTTTTGTATGTTCCACTAAACAGAAATGTTCACGGTAATTAATTTGTGTTAATTTTTGAATAATATCTCTACTAACCACGTAATCTTTGGGAGTGTTTTCTTGGAATATATGACACTCAAGAAAAATGTGCACATTTAACATGATATTTTGGACAAAAGGGTTTCTTTTGGGGTTTGTTTTATTGGAGTTTTGAGAAGAACACGACAAAACTGTAGATTAATTTTTGAATCTTGCATGAGGATTAGTTTAACTATTGAAAAGTATTTCTTGAGGTTTGAGGGTGTAATTTTTTTTGTGTTATCATTCCCAATTGTGTAAAATAATAATAATAACTCGAGAAACACAATCATAAGTCCTCTTCTCAAGTCACTTACGGTTTTTTTTTCTTCTTGTTTCACAATGAATTTTCAAACATTCATTCGCGCCGAAAGTGGACAAATGATTAATGTTCTCGCAGTGTGACATGAATTACTCAGGAGTAAAAAGAAATGAGAGAGAGAGAGAAAAAATACGTGAAGAGAATAAGAACCGAAAAATTACTAATAAGGTCCTCTGTTAATAAATATGACACAAAAACTTTGTATATTATATCCGTCCAGATGGGGCTCACTTTTCGCCGGCAGGAAGGTCGTCATCCCCTCGAACCTTGTCCTCTTCTTCTGCACTCGTGTCGCAAAATGTCCAAAATCCCCCGGTTGCGGTATCACAGGCAAATAGTTGCAATAGCAGTAGAGTATTGCCACACAGTGACGACACATGTCCGTCGCCAGTCACATATACGCCCGTCTATGCCCAGAAATCCGTCACAGACACACTTTTTAGCACCCGAACTGACCCACCATCCTTCGGTGGGTCCCTGCTGAGGCGCCAGCAGGGCGACAGTGAGACGTGCGTAGATGGTGATGAGAAGGAGGAGGATCAGAGAACGTCTGAATGCTCAGATGAGAAGCAAACTCCGCTCACTGACGAAGTAGCTGCGCAAATTGACGATAGCAGCGGTCCCAGTGACACAGACAAGGCCTTTGAGTACACTGATGATGATCTGGACGAGGCTCTCTTGGCCGAAGTTGATCCTGGAGAAGCTAGAGGTGAACTGGAAGAGCCCAAGACACCCACAAATCCCATTCCTGATGCCGAAGACTTCGGAGAGGGTCACTATCTGCCCATGACTCCGAAGAAGTCACTTCTCAGCTCGAGTGCTTCAGAGAGTAGTATTGTGAAGACTCTCACTTCAGTCTCAGGGGACAATTCGGACGAGAACACTTATGTTGAGATGACAAAGGGCAAGATAGATTCGATCCTGGCAGACGACGTGAAGTCAAACTACGAGTTGATGTGTCTCACAAGTAATTCTAAGCTAGAATCTGAACCGGTTTACATGGAATTGTGTCAACCTAAGTCTGGGTCTAGAGATGCGGAAGACACCAAACCCGACATTAGTGTGAAAAAGAGTTCTTTGAAGAAGTATCAGAGCGATGGTAGAAAGTTCTCCAACAGAATGGACCTTCCGGACATACTGAAGGCCTCGCAAAATGTCCTCAAGAGCGACAGTTCTGATGCCGATGACGAAGCATCTAAGGACTTTGATGGATTGGAAATGAAGTCCAGAACCAGATTCAGCTTATCAGACACATTTAGACCAGCATCTTACTATCTTGGAGCAAGCACTCCTCTGGCTGAGTGTGCAGATAGCTCAGACAGTGAGATTGCAAGTCCTCCTCCAATCCCAACGTCACCGCCGCCCATGGAGGAACTCAATACCGAGGAGATCTTCTCGTCTGAGAACTACGACACGGTCAAGCGCAAGGAGAAACAGACGCTGAATGACTCTTTCGATCAGATTCCGAAGCTCAGTAGTTCGGACTTTCACTTGAACAAGACTGAGGGTCACAAGACGAGTCGTCTTAGCTTGCCGGATCAATTTGGTGGTAAGAAGCAGAAAATTGACATTGCAATTCCGGACTACATTTCGCTGAGCACGTACAAAGTGGAGGGGAAAATGTATGCTGGCTCCATCAACAGTTGCAACACCGATGATGGATCTAACACATCTTCCGATTATGATCTCTACAACAAGTTGAAGCTCGAGTCGCCGTCGTTCAGCAGTGATGTTTTGTACAATTCAGACACTTCGCTGCCGTCAAAGTATCGCCAAGGAGCGCGACAGAGGAACAGCGAGAGTGAGACTGAGTCTGTGGAATTGCGACATTCGGGAGGTGGAATGGTGGATTTGGAGATGGAGAGAAGATTGAAGCGACGTCCCTTGTCAGAGGATTCCTTCAGTGAGATCGAATCGATAGAGAATGACTTCAGAGAGGCTATCAACACTGATTTGGATCAGTACCTGAACAAATTGACTACCAACAATCCCTACATGTACAACAGTGCTGAACAAACCAACTGGCTTCATGAGAGTCTCAGCAAGATTGGTGACATTCACTACATTAAGCCGCCAGAGGTGTTTTGCTCTGAAAATGATACATTTTACGAGAATCTCAACGCCATGAGAAAGGATAGTTTGGAGAAGTTGAGTGACTCTTTCCAGATTGGTCAGCTAGTGTCGCCATCTTCGCTTCCCGTGCCTCTGAGACCCGACAGCGCCTTGTCCAACACCAATGGAACCTACTATGACTCCTTGGAGGATAAACCTCAGGGTGAAGAGCTTCCAGTTGTGACAACTGATTCTAATGTTTCGCCTCTCAAAGAGAAGAACTTGAGCATTCACAATGCGAAGTGTGCTTCGGAGGATCTTAAGTCTGAATTTAGTCTTGAATTGAGCAACAGTGTGACTCTGTCGTCGGCGGATGTTGATCAACAGAGCACTTGCACGGCTTTTGATCTCACGAGAAGATCTCCAGTTCACAGTCGCGGGAATAGCAATGTTTCCGATGGATCAGCGCCGTACTACTATTCAGATCTGGTGTCCAGATCGAATCAAGATGTGTCACTAGGACAGAAACTCAATAATCAACGTGATGTTGGCGTGATGAGAAAGACAGGAATTTCCCACATACACAATCCCATTCATCAGCGAACTCCGTCCGGAGGGATGATGAGGGAGAAACACCAGCACGGTCTGGTGGGTCAGGATGGGAGATCGATCTCAGCGGAGATCCTCAATGTGGCGACAAAGGAGCAACTGATTGACAGGCGCAATCTGTTTGGGGTGGAGCAGCATGAGAGCAGCAAGATTGAGAAGAATGTGTGCAAGGAGGGCTCCTTCCCCACCAAACTCAATTCCAATGAATTCCATAGTCGGGTCAATAGTGGTGAGCACGATGCTTCACGGGTGCACAAAGCTAACAACAATAACCCACACAATGACTCATCATGCAATTCTAACCCAATTGATGGTACATTTTGTAACATGACTCCTTTGCAATCGCCAGATGTGTCGGCGGGTGATCAGCTGTGGGAGGAGGACACCCTCTGGCGTGAGAGTCTGAGGCGCGTGTCGCACCGTCATGCGCGATCACTTGATGATCTGGATAGGATTTGTCATGCAAAGAGACTTGTTGAGAGCAAGTCCAGAGCTCAGCTCACGCGCGATGTGACTTATGTGAATGATAATGCGTCGAGTACGCAAAGTCGATCGAGTTTGCGGAAGAAAGTGTATCGCAAGAAGGCGTCCGATCGCAAGGGTGCTCCGAAGCAGGCACCAGTCGTGCCGCCGGCTGAGAGTGACGAGAACGATGTGTACGTGCAATTGGCGGTGGATGAGCAGACGGGCGATATGTATGAGACGCTGCGTGACGACAGAACCACCTTCTCGCCGCGCACCAGCGACGTGGATCGGGAGAAGATCAGGCAGTGGGACGCAATGTCAAGTGGCACGGCCGGGGGTGTTTTGGGCAGTCTGAGCGACACGAAGGGCACACGAGGGCAACTGAGTAGTGGATCCGATGCGACTGACGTTCAAGGTAGCACATCGTCAGGTTGTAGTCGCACTTTTACGTCCAATACAGCCATCGGCACCAACACCAAAACGTACCATCACCACCGAGTGCTGCCCTCATAGAAAGGGGGTTCACACTCAGCAGCACACTTTCTGTGATCCGTGCACATGACAGTTTCCAACCATATGAGGAACTGCCTAGGGCAAAACATTACTGAGACACTGTACATTTACACCAAAACCCCCCCAAAAAAAGAAAAATCACCCCTTCTCCCATCCATTGAGTGAAAACCCCATCCCAAATACTTCCGTAATCCTCGCATGACAGCAACGGTAAGACACATTGTAAATTCATTTTAACTTTATTTCTCCCATTTTTACAACCCCCACAGTTTTATTTTGTGTTAATTGCATTGCGCCTTCTTTCTGCATGAGGAGGTTTTTTTTTTATTATTTCTTAACAATTCAAAACTCTACTAAGAGATCAAGCTGAGTCCAATATGCCCAAAATGCAATGATTATTATATTCACACTTTAGGAAATCATTGCTCGATTATTCTTCTTGAACAGTCAATCGTGTTGTATCAACACTGTTGCCTTGAGATGAACTCCTAAATGAATCATTGTCTATACTCTAACCCAATCAATTTTCACTTTGCCTCTTGTAGCATCGCTCTCAGTGCAGAATGTGAAGAATGTGCAATCGTCGGGGCTGAGTGTTAAGCCAGATGACACACTCGACATGCAACGCGGCAGCCACATGAGCAATAATCATGAGGAGAGATTCCCGGGCGGCATGGTACGTGGCGGCTACCAGCAAGGGTGGCCCATGAAGAAGAGCACGAGTCAGAGGGAGATTGACCAGATGGAGCGTGAGAATGCCATAAGGGTAGGTGTCCTCAATTGACGCTAAAAAGTCTCTTTTTTTTGCATCATCCACGCCAGATGTGTTTCCCACAGTCTTGTTGTTTTTTTTTTGTTTTGTTTTTCCACATCATTTGCAAGTGTGCCAAACACGAGAGAGACACACATTTTTTTTGGTGATGTTTTATTTTATCTTATCACGAATGTTTTTTTTTCTCTTTTTTGTGCTTGTGACACCCTCCACACACAAAAAAATACACACAAAACTCACGAAATCCAAAACAAAAAAAAATCACTGAAATATTCAGAGTTTGGATATGTCGGCGGGTGATTTACTGAGTCGCACCCATGAAGAATTGGTGCTCCTGCTCATTCAGCTGCGAAGACAGAACAGCGCCACCGCCAGAGCCATTGAGCAGTGCTGCACGGATATCCATGAAGTTCAGGTGGTGTAGCGTGAGAAGATCTCCCTTCTCGCTCTCTCACACACTCTCTCATGAGGGTGGAGAGACAGTCCACCCCCGGTGGATGGGGCGAAGAGATACCTTGCAATATAGCTTTCGCAATAACATTTGCATTTCACATGTTAACACGAATTATTCAATTCTCCGCACACTAATTCACATCTATCTCACACACATTTTCTCTGCCATTGCCACCCACACACTCACCCAACTAACACGATTGGGGGTAGGTGGATGGGGATGATTTGGTGGGTTTCATGCTCAAAATTCCTCTCACGATAAATCCAATCTCTCTTTCAGTCAGCCTTTCAACTCTCAATTGGCGCTTCTGAAGCTCCACTTTTCCTCCTCATTGCATTTCTGCTTGTAGAATTTTAATTCTGAAAATATGCTTTCTGTGAAAATGATTTTATTTTCAACTTTGCACAACCATGCAATGCAGTAAAATCTGATTTTCAAAGTTTCTTCACACACTTTTTTCTAACTCAATAGCATTCATCATCTTGTCTGGACTAACATCAAAGCCTAACCTTTTGGTATTTTTTTTCTGATTCAAGTCCTTAATCCTGCAGAATCGCATTAGAACATCGGATGGACAGACGAAGATGGACAACATCGCACGATTGGATTCGCTGAAGCAGCAACTGATTGATCTGGAGAAGCAGTATGAGAAGAGCAAACCACTGGTGAATCTGGTTGATAACATGGTGAAACTGGGTTCTCTCTATCGTGGCGCTCCTGTTAATCGTCATCCTGGGAATGAGTCTGTCACCCTGGACAGGCTGGAGTTCAATCAACGTGTCCAGGAAAGACGACTACTGCAGGAGGAACGAAGACACTGGGATAGACTGAGTCCAAATCATTCAGAACTGCAGGTGAGATTAGACAATTCAGTGCTTTAATTGCAAGTCTTCTAAACCACTATTGCTCTTGCAGACGAAAGTCCAGCAACTTTACCAGCTTGATCAGCTCCTCCAGGAGGAGTCAGGCACGCTGCAGAGTCTGCAGAGAGACAAGGAGGATCTAGAGCGTGCTCTGGGCGGACTGAGAGCGAGACTGCAGAATGGTGTAGGTCCTCCGATCGCCATTGAAGCAGCCAGGAAGCAACAGCACGCTCTGGAGCGCGAACTGTCGCGCGTTCATCAGCTTTTAGCTGAAAATTCCAAGGTAGACCAGGTGCCTAGTAGTTCTTGTGTCTCTTCTTTTGGCAAAATTGAACTTGACCGAATCTATAACATGTAAAGTAAATGGTAGAATAGCACCTCACGATCATTTCTAACTGAAAATTTTATGGCTTAATTGACACTGATAGAGACTCATTTCACCATTTTCATATGCGACAATTAGTGGGGTTTGAATTGGATGACTGAGAAATGGCTTATTTTGCAGAAGCTTGAACAGACTGTGGCTGGAAATGCTCGATTGGAGCAGGAATTGCTGGTGCTGAGGCAGAAATTGCAAGCTTCTCGAGATTCGCGTGGGTCTCAGACGGCTCTTAGTGCTGGAAGTGGCAGCAATGGTGGAGCTCCGGACAGTATTTCATATACTGGAGGAGCAACGGCAGTTCTAGAGTCTGGTAAGTGTTATTGGTGATGTAATGAGTGACACATTGGAGTGAAAATTGCACTCTTTTAGATATTCTAGAGCTGAGGCGCGTGCAGCAGCTGGTTGGGGACATGCAGAGACAGCGACAGGAGTTGAGTCAGGCGGTGAGACAGCTGACGGAGAATTCCAATTCGCTCTATCAGCAAATTCGTCCGGGTGATCATCCGGGTGGCTCAAAGAAACGCCCACAGAACAGTTCGTGGATGGAAACTGATCTGGACTCAATGATCAGCTCAGATCACTCAACAATCCAGATGCCACCAATTGAGCATGTCTCGACGAATCCATTCCTCAACCACAATTTGTACATTGACACAAATTCGACTGGACAGAAGCAGGGTGAGAGTGAGTTGAAGGGATCCAAGATCTTCCAGAATCACGAATCATCGGATGGCATTGAGTCCAGTGGCATGGAGAGTGATGATGTGCTGGAGGGAAATCATATGAATGGATTTTCCATGCAAGACAAGCAAGAGATCAAAACGGTGCGCATTGTGAAGAGGGAAAGTGAGAGGCGACAGCGTGATCGTGAACGCACAAATTCATCTAGTCAGAATCTCGATCAGGTGCTGGAGGAGGAGACTCACCTTCCGGAGGACTTTCTCAACTTTGCCCGGAGCAAATCACTGCCCAGAGGATATCCAGACGCGGCATATGATCCGTTTAAGGACCCTTTCAAGGGTGGCGAGAGTCTCAAGTCGCCACGTGTGACCAGCAAAGGCAACACAATTTACACCGCTGGACCGACAATTCCCGGAAACACCAGCAAATACTCAGATTTTTACAATCACGCACCGATCTCAAATCACTATCCTGTGTCCATGACGGAGAGAATTGACGATCCCATGAAGAACTACAAGGCCACGTATGGAAGTACAGGAGAATTGTCTGGACTGAAGAACAAAACTGAGTCCATTCAGAGCCTGACCAAGTCCATCGGTGAGCTGAGTCCGGTGTTCCAGAGCGAAGCGGCCAGGCAGATCATCTATGAGATGTCCGGCAGTGCTTCGGAGGAGAATGGCGAGAAAGTTCCGCTGGCCAGCAAGCACAGGAGAGCCGTGCCGAAGGAGAAGAGAAGACACAACACAGCGCCCAGCAATGTTATCGTCAAGACAATGCAACAAATCCAGTCGGAGAACGACATGAATCGCAATGTAAGTTGACTTTTAAGCCTCAAAAGAAGACACTTTAATTGAATTGAGTGCTTTTGCAGAACACTAATTGGCGAGCTCGCGATGATCTTGACATGGAAGTCGCTCTGCGACCACGAAGCAATGCGCCTGATGTTGTGCGTTCGGCTCTTGGACCGCGCGAGAAGATCTCAGAGAACACCATTGATAAGCTGTTGGCGGCGCCAAGTAAAATTCTCATCCCTGAGCGCTACATTCCCGAACAGCCACCAGAATTGTCGCCTGAGGAGAAGAAGAGGCGCCAAGAGAAGGTGGAAGCCATCAAGAAGATGCTTTCAGAAGCTCCCATCAATCCATCAAATGTGAGTGGAATTTTTGCATGCACTTTGTTTGGACGTGTGTGAAGCTAATGCCTCGTGATTGTGTCCTTGCAGGACAACGTGTCCGCTCCTCCGAGTCAGATAAGTGCTGAGAAGAAGCAACGCGAGCATTTGCTGCAATTGAACCAGATTCTGGCACAGCAAGTGATGCAGATGAGCAAAATCGTTGCGGGTAAATTTCTTCACACATTTCTTCTACGCTCTTTCCTCTTTAATAACTCAGAGTTTTTTTTTATATTGATACATTAATTGTTTTTCATAACTCATGGCTTCTGTGAGAGCCTTTTGACTAAACCCAAAAAAAACAGATTGCAAAAACTTGCAAGAGTTCACAATTTTTGTTGTAATTTCACATTGTTAATGTTCTGATGCGCGTTTCTCGTTGATGTGTGGTGTTTTCTTCATCAAATTTGTGATGTTTTTCTCTCAAAATTTGACAACTTTTTTTTCTACCAATTCGGCCACACTTTCATATGGAAAAATTCCATTGTTTAATCATGTAGAATTTCTTGCTCTCTTATTTTTGCCAGTAGATTTAATTTTGAGTGGTTTTCTGCGCTAAATTTTGACGCTATTCTCACAAGTGTTTTTTGTGAGTGTGTAAAAATTGCTGCTGATTTGATAACTTGTTTGATAAGAGAATTGAAAGAAAAATAAAAATCAGAGAGTAAAACTATTGCAGAATCATTTGCGAATATTCTTTGTTTAAATGTATTTCACAGTCAATCTTATATCCGTACTCTTAAGTTAATCCATTTATTTCGATGTTGTGTTATTTGGCTTGTGTTTGTTGTTCTTTTCTCCCCATTTAGGAAATCCTAGCCAGTCTAGTTCCAAGTAAGAAAAAAAATTGTTGATGGATGTGTATTGATTGCTTTTATTAAAGACAATACATAGAAAGAATGGCCAGATGGCGAATCATTAAAAACATGCCATAATCATGTTGAAGAATCTCAAGAAATGCAAGGTTTGTATCATCACATTTTCTCTTAAGCTCATCTCTCATTTTTCCTGTGTGTTTTTCCTTTTGGTCTTTTGTGTGTTGCGCACTTTTAGTGAGATTTAGTAAGGTTGCCGCAAGAAAGCTTCCGTTTTTCTTGAGCAGCCTTTCTTAGATTGTTTGTATGTTTGACAATCATAAGAGATATTTATGTTACAATTTTTAGTGGCACAAATTATTTTCTTTAAAATTCACATTAAATATCCTTTCTTTCTCTCAACTTCAACAACTTTTTAGAATGGAAAAGAATAGAAAACTTAACCTGAAACTGCGACACGCACAATGTTAATTTTCCGTCTAACTTCTTTTTCAAATTTATTAAAACTTCTATGAGAAAATCAACGAGAACAGAGTGAAATGTTGGGAGATTGTCTAATGTTGTTTCTTGCTATCAATCTACAGAGAAAGCCATGGCCACGTTACCATCGAAAGTAGCTGAATTCACGAAGGATATTCCTGAGGATGACCAACCATCTCCACCAGAGCCACTGCCATTGTATCAACAACGGGACAATTATTTCACTTAATTGATATAATAAGAGGAAAACCAACAACATTTCTACGAGACTTTTATTGTTATTTACTTAGAAGACGACATACAAAACGAATTTACAAGAAAGGAAATATTTAGTCGAACACTTTTTACCTTATAACTTTGACAGAAAGACACAAATTTCCAAAACATGAAATGCAAGAAAAAAAAACTCTTAAAAATAACAGCCAGGAACAAGGAATATTTATATAGGATTAAGAGAATGACAATTGTGACAATTTATTAAACTATCCAAATCTCGTGCAAATTTACTATGGTTGAAAGCCTTTATCAGTTTTTTGCTTCGTATACTTAAATATTTGATAAATAATCTCCATTGAAACATGATTTTTACCATTTGATATTCCTTCAGAAATCTCTCTGAACTTTTATTAAATATTTGATTTTGAGTGAGAAAATAAATATGATTCTCCGTCCAATTGTAGTAATTGAAATTATAAGTTTTCTCCACGAAAAAAAAACCTTTCTAAAAAAAACAATTACCAGTTTTTTCCTTATTGAACAGAGCTTTTGCTTTGATAGCAGCTTAGAAGAGAGTGTATTTAGAGATATCCTCTCTTGTGCAATTGAATGGTGCTTAATCTGTCTAGAAGTGGAGGATTAAGCACTCGAAAAGGATTTTACGAGGATAATCGGAATATTTAGAGATGAAAGTATGGCAAGAAAAAAGAAATTCCCCTCTTTCCCAGCATATCAACTTATACATAATCTTATCGTATAGTGAAAAGAATATACAGCTTTACAAAATTACGATACAACTTAAGTGAGAGTGAGAAGAAGGAGAAAAAATGTTATTGGACAAAAATATTTATCAATCTCGATAAGGCTATTGAAGGTAGAAATATAAAATCCAAGAGCTCAATGTTGAAAAATACGGCAGAATTGATTGAACATTTGTGTACACATCAGACTGAATAATTCTCCACACATCTTTAAAACTTCTTAATCACAAATCCTGTATTGAATGATTCTGTCACGCGAGCTTTCGAAGAAGAGCGTTTGGAGTTCTTTTTGGCTTGGATTAGGCAATTGATGGCATTGTAGACATATTATTTCGGTGCTACTGTTACAAAGACATCAATTCGAAGAGAAAAGTGTGAAGAAAATGTAGTTTTTTTCCTCCTCATTTTTTGAATATATTTTCCGCGCTCATGCAATAATTGTGGCGCATTTGAGTAGTGAAAAAGAGAAAAATTAGGTAATCAGTCAATTTCGCAAGTCAATAGGAAAAGACACGAGAAATACCTTTAGAGACATTCCTGAGAAACTATAACAATTTTCATTTCGAATGACTTTCAGAGTCAAGTCAATTTTCATCGGCTTTAGAGGAGAAAAAAAATGGAGCAAAAGGTCTTTAGACAAAATTCTTGTACATAGAATCCCTTCCCTGTCCTTTGAAAGGAGGCAATCTCTCAAATTTTATTTGTAAGAGTAAAATCTCCCCTTCATTAGTGCAGCTATTCAGTGACAAGATAGAATCTCATGCTACTTTAATGTACGTTATTCTTTAACTGATAATCTTAGAGATAATTTGTTGGAGCGTACACGAATTGTATAGATTTAAAGAGAGAGAGAGAGAGAAAGAGAAAGTGTGTGAACAGATAAGCAACAAATATGCCATCACAAATATTGAAAGGAATGATGATTTTAATAATTGTAAATAGAGTACCTTATTAATTGTATTTTTTTTGTAACCTCACAAATTGTAATTTGTATATTTTTTTGAATTATTTTGACGCATCTGCCATCTATTATCACGTAAGGAGATACACTTTAGTTATACAAGATAAGTTAAATTGATTGAAGTTGTGGAATGGCGATAAAGAGTACCATATTAGGTGTAATTTGAAACCTGTAATTTTTGATTGTTTGTTTGGTGCTAGTTCTTAACTAACAGAAATTGAGTACAATGTCTTTTTAAGAAGTTTCCCCTAATTTCTCTATTAATTAGCGATGAATTCCAAAAGCAAGTTTGAAGGAAAAAAAACGAAGAATAAAGAAAGAAAAAAAAACATACACAATTTTGTACTTTTTAATATATTTACAATTAGTAGAAAAATTTATAAATACAAAATATTACACAAACACACAGAAAAAGTATCTCGCGATGAGTGAAATTGAAGGATTTTGTGTTGGGATTGAAGAATGAGATTTTTGAGGCACGAGAGAAAAGTGTAAATGAAGCTCGTTGGAAGGCAAAATAAACCATTTATTCGAGAGCAATTCAATTCAATTACAATTCGCTAAGTTAAATAAATAGTCTGTAGCCGTAAGTAGAGAGTAAACGGAGCAGTGAAGAGCATAGTTTGAGTAATATTTTAGAGTGAAAAAAAGAAAATGTAGTGAGACATTTGTAGAATTATCGATTTATATCATTAGCAATTGAGAAAAAAGAAAAAAAACATGCTGAAAAGGTATATAAATTATGTAAAACGATTTAAAATGTAGTATTAAAGTTGAAGAAAATGATTAAAATGAGAAAAAATATTAATGAGAAAATTATATATATTTATGAGTTAATGGTTGAAAAAAATATAAAATGAAATTGAAAATAATACCACCTTGACTTTTCTTTCTACCGAGAATCAACAATTTCGACTCTGTTTTCTCCAACATCTGTGTGCATTTTTTATCCCGCCACTCCAGGTTGATTGTCTCAGCAGGGTTTTTTTTTATTAATAAAATTGTAATGCAGAAGAATTTCCACTCAGATCGCCGTTCAATGACATAGAATATTCTTGGGTGATCGTTCATGTCTTCGCCTCTCTCTCTTCATTCTCTCTTTTACTCTCGCATTGCCGGTGAATAAATTGTGATTTTATGCAAATGAAATACAAAATTATTGGTGGGACAGTGCGTTCACCTCTTCCCTTGACCATCATCGCATCTTCATTGCTGTCGCGAGATTACACAAAAAAAAACAGCCCACATCGCAATCCCACTTGATCAGCATCTGATCGGGTTCACAGTTAATTTGTTGCTGAAGATTCTCTCCTCCACAAACCATCGAGAGGCGCTCGCGCGCGCAGTGCATTGAATTAACTTTGGATTTTGAGGAAGAAACACTCTTCACTCTTGGCTAATTAAAATTCCCATTTCGTCCACCGGCACTAAAGACTGTTTGTCAAAGCGACTCAGGTGCTAAATGACCTCTGATCAGGCCACATAATAAAGATCATTGATGCATCGACGATTTTTGATTACATTTCCCTGCTTGGGCATCAAAAAGTCAAGGGGTGAGGCGTATTTTCACCCTTAGAGTATGCTCAAAAATATTCTCCGCTAATTGATTGTGTGTTTGTTGCTTGGCAAACATGCGTCTGCCAATTTGCATCTGCAATGCACTCGCGCAACCTGTGCTATTGACCCCTCGATGGCAACTTCGGCGTCCGAGATTCCAGTCAATGGATTAATTCCCGTGCTGACTTGAGGTATAAATACGAGTCTGGCAGGGAGAATCTCCTCCAGTTTGCGGATGATCAGTGTTGCGTTTGGAGCTCGTCAAGAGTGTGCAAAAACCAACGACGATGGGTAGGAAAAAGTCGAGTGATCTCATTAGTTATTCCCATATCGTATTCCACTCCTTCTCTTCTCCTCACTATATCTTTTGTAGATCGATTTGTGATCGTGTCGCTGCTTCTGGGCACGCTCGTGTCGTCTGCTTTGGCCCAAGGTGATGTAGTTTGAATTTGAGGAGTTTCTCTTCTCAACACAATTTCCCCAATTTGTGCGTGAATCTCTGCAGGACCCGCTCGTGTTGTGTGCTACTTCAGCAACTGGGCGATCTATCGCGAGGGCATCGGAAGCTATGGGATTGATGATGTGCCAGGTGATCTCTGCACCCACGTGATTTACTCTTTTATCGGTGTCGATGACTCCACATGGAAAGTCTTGATCATCGATCCAGAAGTGAGTTGGCCTCTCTTCATTTCACCATCTCAATCATCACGCGAGATGTTCTTGTCGGTTAATTATGATATTAATAAGCGCATTATAGCGATTGTTTACGTCCACTCACAATGCAAATTAGTATTCAAATTTTGTGCCTGCGAGGCGTGATTAATGGGTTTTTTTCTTTCTCTCTCTTGTGATTTCACAGCTCGATGTGGATAAAGGTGGGTTTAGGAAGTTCACGACCCTGAAGAGTCGATATCCACATCTGAAGACCCAAATTGCCGTGGGCGGCTGGGCTGAGGGAGGATCGAAGTACTCCCAAATGGTGGCTTCGCCAGATCGCCGACGAAGCTTCATTCAGAGCGTGATGGAATTCATGGACAAGTACGGCTTCGATGGCTTCGATCTGGACTGGGAGTATCCCGGAGCTGCGGATCGCGGCGGCAGCTTCAGCGACAAGAACACCTTCTACTTCTTCGTGCAGGAACTGAGGCGAGCCTTTGACCGTCGCGGCAAAGGCTGGGAGATCACAATGGCCGTTCCTGTGGCCAAATTCCGCCTCGACGAGGGATATCACGTGCCCGAGCTCTGCCAGATGCTGGACGCCATCCACGCCATGACCTACGATCTGCGAGGCAACTGGGCAGGATTCGCGGACGTGCACAGCGCCCTGCACAAGAGACCACACGATCAGTGGGCTTACGAGAAGCTCAATGTGGTGAGTGAGAATGAATTGTTTGAGAAAAGTTTCACGGCATGAAAATCACCCTGACAGGAACTTTCGTATTGGAAAAGTTCACTTAACTTCCTCTCTTCGTGTGGCACGAGAGAGCGCCTGAAGATATTACAGGGAAGTTTTGTGAGAATCACGTCTCACATATTCTACAGTTTAGAAGAGATGCAAGATGAATTTCTCAAATTCATGTCAAAAGTTTTCCCGCACATTAAATAGCATAATATTGCACTATCTTGATGGGGGAAAATATTAACGAAAACATTATTTTGTAAGAAAATACAGCAAAACTCAATTTGATATTCCAATTCTCTTGTGATTACATTTACACATTTGTAAAAGCGAAAGATTCTCAAGTGTTCAGCGCGAAATTGTAAAGCACAATGAAAGTTTCACAAACACTTTACACAAAATGTACTTTTGTATAGTTATTTAAAGTTTCTTTTCCCTCAAGGAGTTTGATTTTCACTGTAAGAAACTTTCTCGCAATTACGATTCTCATGAGAGGTAAGAACACACTCTTCACCTTGTTCTTCACTTACTTTTGCCTTTCATAGAATGTGTTTAAATTCAATTACATTTAACCTCACATCAGGAAAGCTTCATATTGAAACCATCAATTATATCGTATCATTTATAATTGATAGAAATGGTGAAAAGCTTAAGCAAACCTCGGAGTAATTCAATAACAGCGCTTTTGTCTTCAGTCTTAGACTCATAAAATCTGGTCCTCGCGGTATTAAAAAGGATTAAAGGGTGTGAGGAAACAATTCCTAATGGATCGATTGTCGGAAAACTTCAGATCTCTAGCTTCACATGGAAAATCACAGCACATCAATGTGTCTCAAAGCCTTGAGTGGCTCTATTTTATTTGTAGTCACTGTTTACTCTCTATTTCAGGCGGACGGACTGAATCTGTGGGAGGAGAAAGGATGTCCGGCGCAGAAGTTGGTCGTTGGCATTCCCTACTATGGTCGGACTTACACGCTGAGTGCCGGAAATAACAACTACGATCTCGGCACGTACATCAACAAGGAGGCCGGAGGAGGAGCGCCAGGACCCTACACCAATGCGACAGGCTTCCTGGCCTACTACGAGATCTGCACGGAGATCGCGGACCCGGAGAACGGCTGGACCACGAAGTGGGACTCGCACGGGCAGGTTCCGTACACGTACAAGGGGACGCAATGGGTGGGCTACGAGGATCCGAAGTCCGTGCAGATCAAGATGGACTTCATCAAGTCCAAGGGCTACGGAGGTGCCATGGTGTGGGCCATCGACATGGATGACTTCAAGGGACTGTGCGGCGAGGTGAATGTCTTGGGGAAGATCCTGTGGAACAACATGAAGGACTACATTGTCCCCGTTTCCACCAGAACCACCACCATCACGGTGAGTTTGAGAGAGAGAGAGATTCATGGAACATTTAGAAGATGGCCAATTGTATTCAGAAATATCCCACATTCTTCACCGCATTTTGGCACTCATTTCGTGCATTTTGCCAATTCTTTGCAGCCTGAATGGGCTCGTCCGCCGTCAACGCCGTCAGTCGATGAACCAGGAGACGTTCCCACTACCCAAAGACCAACAACACCACGACCCCAGGTGAGTCCTCATTTCGCGCAAAAGGTGAAGAGGCATCAAAGTCAGAGGCAATTGAATTTATTGGCCATTAAATGTTCGCGGTGTGCGCGTATTCAATTGGTTATTTTAGCAAAATTTATGCTATAAATTAAAAACAGCCAGCAGATGCACTTGGGCGCGAGCCAATTGGAAACGGCATTTTCCCCAATACCGCACTTTTCGTCGCTCTTACACAATGATCATCAGCATTTTCCTTTTCTTTCATCGAATGTGATCGAGCAAGTTGATTGATTTTCCGCTCGGCTGTTTTTTTTCTTCTTGTTTCTTTAGACAAGCACAACTCAGAAGATCACAACGAGAAAGCCTGAACGGCCAATCTCGTCGGAGAGCACTGAAAGTGGCCAGAAGGAGGAGGATCAGCCGGAAAGTCAACCAGCAGCTCCTCAAGGAGACTCAAGTGAGGAGTCTAATTCGGAATCTGATGAGAATAAGGTTGATTGCGAGGGAAAAGATTACGTGGCGCACAGAAATTGCAAGAAGGTGAGAAAAGTCTTTGGGAAATACATCAGAATCCTTCTGACTTTTCCTGGTTCTTTCCCTTTTTCAGTACTATCGTTGCGACCATGGAAAGCCTCTTGAGTTCAGCTGTCGCGAAGGAACAGTGTTCAATACGGTTTCCAATGTCTGCGATTGGCCTGATAATGTTAAACAATCTGACTGTACATCCAAAGTGCGGTTGGATCACGAAAAGCCACAATCTGAGAATTTAACAGAATAGCTTTTAGCAACACTAATTAACCCCGGAACAGAGAGTTCAAATACTAAAAAAAAATTGCAGCAGAATTTATAACACAATTTAACGATTTATTCTAATCAATTTATGGAAAATTGATACAAGTCTGATATGAAAATAAATATGCGTTCGAGTGGATTGCACTTGACTTTTCCACTTGGCGTGGAGCTTAATGTCCTCGCGGGGCGCCAGAAAACAATGGTGATTTACTGCAGAATAATTGAAATGCATTCTAGCCAAGGGGCAGATATTATGGTCGGAAATGGTGTACAGATTTTGCAGAAGTTTTAGGACTTTAAAGCTTCTGTTTCAACAAATAGAGGCTTTTTAGAGAAAACTGGGAATATTTCTCTTTTTATCGGCAGAATTGAGCATATGTGCTCGAAAAACTTTAGATTGATTCAATTTCGGAAGTAAAAAATAAGCTTGAAGACAAACATAACCTCAAAAACTACATTTTAGCCTAGATGAATGCCTCTTTTCTTAGTTATTTCCGCAGTTTGTTCTTTATTATCCAGTAGAAATATTGTGATATTCTCTAAATTTAATCATTTCCAGTGTTGAAAGGATTTAAACTAGTCTAACAAAGTTTTAAAGCTGGATTTATAACCTCACAATTTGGTCAGAATTTTTCTAGGCATTTTTCGAAGATGAAACTAGACAAAACGCCTTCAAAGACGTCCAGAAGTCTGTGAAAGATCCTGCAAAGAGGCTAAGGAAGTGGAGTACAGATTTAAGACGTATTATCTCTCCCTTGATTCTGGCTTCTGTTTTGAGACAAGCGAAAGCCAAGAGATTTTAACTGTCGATCATTGGCTGATTCTTGTGCAACCTGTGATTGACGAGTGTGTGGTCACATTTTGGCGGGCATTCTCTCTAGGACATTGGCACTCAAACAATGATAGCAATTCATGCATTTCGTGCGAAGGAGTGTGTTAAGCAGCTGCAAGAGATTCCTCGGTGAAAGAGGAGCTTTTGCACCTCAGTTGTGATGCTTTATAATTAAATCCGCCGCAAATGAACACAACTAGTTGTCGGTGAGAACGGAAGGCGATTGATGATTTTTCGCATATCGAGAAGTGACTTTGGCGCAAAATCGTCCGAGTTTATTATTATCATGAGAGGACACATGAATTCAATTGAAACTTTCACAACGCACAGCGGCAGGAAGGCTTTAGAATTTGAGATTCTCTACACTCATGATTACAATATTTGATACACTTTCTCTGTGCACGAACTCTGCAAGTGCCTAATTACACACGATCTTTGGGGTGTGCTTTTCCTCGTGCGCACGTCAGTGACACTCAGCAGGTGCTCGTGAACCCTCGGAGGAAAATTTCGCGAAACTTTCAAAGCCTGAGCGAGTCTGGCGCGGTATAGAACATTCGCTGAACGCCAACGTGTTTTGTCGCCCAGTGGTTCGGTGGTCAGTGTTGGAGCTTCCCTGTTTCGAATTGGGAGTGGACGGGGCCAGATTGGCGCGAGAAGAAAGTGGGCAAAAGTGGCCAGGAGAGCGAGAACAAGTTACGATTTGGCCGTTACGCGAATTTACCCCGCAAAAGAAATCGCCTGTGATACAAAGAGACACACTTTTCTCGGTGGATTTTCACACGCCACTCTTTTTTTGTATTAATTGCCGTGCCTGTGAATTTTTCGCGAAAGGGAAGAACAGTCTGTGGATTATAGTTCTTCACCTTGCCATCGGCTGTGCCTCTCTGTGGTGTTGTTTGTGTTGTTGGAGGGTGGGAAAAAAAGAGAGAGGGAGTTCAGAGGTCGTGCGGGTGGAATTAAAAGACGTGCTCATGTCGCAAGAGTGAACCTTCTTTTCCCCCGTGAGAGAGAGAGAGAGAGAGAGTGTGTGTGATTGACTGAAGCTGTGGATTAGCCCTTACTATTTGGACAGGACTTGGAGGATCTCCACTGAGAAATGATACGATCCGTGACGTGGCTGCTCCTCCTGCTGGGATGCGCCTTCCTCACGGTCTCCTTGCATGGTACGTTCAGGTTTCCTCTCCTGGCGCGCCAATTATATAATTTCGCCAGCCACGAATCGATTTTTCATAAAGACAGTCCCATGATCGAGCTCTTTTCCTCACTTACATCGACATTTTTCGTGAATAAGTGCGAGTGAAAATTATGCAATTGAGAGTGTGTGTTATATTTTTACAGCTATGTGTAATATTTAAATTTAGCTACGAAAAATGTGGGATTCTCAATATATGTGTATATTTATGAATTTTCGCCAGTGCTAAAGGAAAATCTCGCACACTTTCGCCCGATCGTCTCTATTTCATCTCTCTTTCTCAGGGTGGTTTTTTCTTCTTTTTTTTCTTCTCACTTCAAATCCCGTGAAAATTTATCATAACTCATTAAGATTTATTAATCTGATCTGGACGAATCCGCGGATCAATCACGAAATATTGATCTACAAAGCTTTTTTCACTTCATTTCCCGAAAATTACAACTACACTATTTGCCTCAAATTTAATTGCTGCCGATGTATTTAGACCATTGACCAATTTACTTAAATTATTTTGCTTCTATCGATATTGTTTATGCAATAAAATGCTTCAAGAGCCAGATTAGAATTTCTCAAAAACACAAAATCACATGAAATCAAACTTTATTCGTGTACATAACTGTCAGTTAATGCGTCAAAATAATAAGTCAAAATCATATTCAACATGATAAAATTTGTAAAATAGCAATCACAAGTGAGATTTAAAGCGATTGTGTGGGTTTTTTTTCTAGCAAGTGCGAGAGCGGAATATTCCCACAATTTTACGATTTCATTAAGCAAAACACTCTGCAATATTTCAGATATCCCTTCATATAGTGACCCATTAGGCGTGTGGCCAAGAAATTTTATCTCTCAAATAGGCAATTTAGCCCACATAATTCATTTTGGTGTCTTCTGCCATAAAACGGTCTAAAAACAGAACGATCATGGGACAAAATAATGCCAAGTTCTGGGGAAAACAATCCTCTCTCCATCCATAAACATTCACAATTATATTCCCCCGATCTTGGAGATCTATTTCGGTTTGCACAGATGAGTCAAGTGAGCTCAATTTCACGTGGTGTTTTCCATTGATCTTCAAATACGCGATCAGGACATATGATCAATAAATTGTGAATGGAGAAGATGAGGCCCCAAAGGAGAGATATTGAGTGCCAGTGAGGCTGTAGAAAGTGAGACGGAGAATTGCATATTGAAAGATCTCGCGAGAATAAACAAATTTTCCGATTACTTCTTTCTCATGTTTATTGTTACACACCAGTTTCATTTTTCAAGGTTCACCAGAATGTGTGTGAAGGAAGAAAGGCCAGCAGATATTTTTACCGATATTTCACTATGATTCTCCCAAAATATCTCGCTATGAAAGTCAAAATAAATAGGTATTTAGGAATATTGTGGGTAAATTTAGCGGGACTCCAGTGGAGGCGCCTGGTTCTCACCAGGCGTCCTCATCTTCTCACTCTCTCCATTCGCATACCAACACCTCTCGTATTTTCTCTGTTTTGCTCTCGACAGACGCCCAAGTTCATGCTGAGGTTGGACCATCGGAATCCGAATGCAGGCCCTATATAGAGAAGGCGATAAATGAACTGAAATCCGGTGACTCGGGAGCAGGTATGTGTTCAGATGCAATACATTGCATTTTACAGACAATAATCACATTGTTTTCTTCACTGTGCACAGTCGGTGATGACGATGGAAGCCTAGAAGCGGCAACGCCAGATGATGACGATTCTCCAGGCGATGACGGCGACGACAGCACAGAAAATGCTGCAATCGAAGAAACGAGCAATGAAGAAGCTGGAGAAGCAGACAATGACGATGACGACGACAATGACAATGACAATGCAACGCAGGAGGATGGAGCTGACAATGAGGATGATAATGATGATGATGACAATGAAGATGACAATGGTCCATCGAAGGAAGATGCTCAAGTAGAAGATTCTGGAGAAAATGCTGACACACAAGACGACGATGGCCAGGATGATGACGATGATGATGATGATGGTAAAGATGACGATGAGAAGGCCAATGGTGACGATGATGACGATGATCAGACTAGTGCGGAAGCTGCTGCTGCTGATGATGGACAAGATAGCAAAGAAGCTGCTGACGATGATGGACAAGATGATGATGATGATGCTGATAATCAGGATAGCACAGAGGCAGCAACAAAAGATGATAATGATGACGATGACGATAATGATCAGGATGGCGATGGACAGGATGATGATGATGACGATGAGGATGGAAAAAGCAGCAAAGAAGCAGCAGACGATGATAAGGATGACAATGATGAAGATGGACAAGATAGTGGGGAAGCAGCAACAGAAGAAGGGGACCAACAGGGAGACTCACAGGAGGATGACAATGCCACTGATGATGCCGATGATGATAATGACGATGATGACAATGACAATGAAAATTCACAGGAAGTGGCTGTGGAAGATCATGATGGTGATAGTGGCGAAAAGACACCATCTGCAGAAGCTGAAGATGATGATGACACAGACGATGATGATGGTAAAGATGACGATGGAAAGACCGATGACGACGATGATGAAGATGATACTGATGATGATGATAAGAAGTCTGGAGAAGCTGATGAAGATGATAATGAAGCAGATGCAGATGGTGACGATGATGACGGACAATCGCAAGAAGCTGCAGATGATGATGATGCAGTTAAGTCTGAGGAAAAGGTCCTTTCCAGAGGAAAACGGTCATCAGATGACGATGATTATGATAATGATGGCATGGATAACCAAGAGGACGATGATGATGACAACGATGGCATTGAGGATGAAGCTGACGACGATGATGACAACGATGGCGTGAAGGATCATGAAGATGATGACGATGACAATGATGGCGTAAAGGACCACGAAGATGACGATCACAGCGGAGAAGAGGATGCGTTAGAGGAAAACGACGAAGAAGACGCAGATGATGATGACGATGATGATGACGATGATGATGACGAAGAGAATCCAGAAGAGGAATTAACTCTGGTAAATTTTCAGTCTTGCAACAAAACATTCCAATATATTTCACGATTTTTTCAAAGTCTTTTTTGAAATTTTCAGAATAAGTTCGTAAAACGTATCACACAAGACTCTCAAGATTACCTCAAGAAATTAAGAAAGCAAATTTTTAAGCATTAATGTAAAATAAGTAAATTTTATTGTTGTTGAGTCAAGGTTTGTAGGTTTATATTGTTCTGGAACGCGTTCTTGATGTTTCCAAATTGGAAAACCTATCCTGATTTCTGGGACATTGCAAATAAATATGAAAAGAGTTATAAAAAACAATCGTTGTTGCGTTGCAATTTCTTCGTTCATTTCTTTTTTTTTTAAATATTATTATTACTTTTACATTTTCCTACTTATGAAACATTGAGTTTAATGGATTTCGTAAGACGTTAAAGAGAGTTTATAAACCATGAATGCCTTCATAAAAATCTGTCTTTAATAAAAGTCACAGTTACTTTTAATTCTTTTAATTAAACTTCTCATCATTGTTCTCAACTAGACCCATTCATTTCATAATTTTTTTATTCTCAAAATCGTGAAATAATATCAAGCTGTGCATATATTTTGCAATTTTTATTTTTGTACTTCTTTTTTTTATGGTTCCAAGGAATGGACATTGTTGCGTTCCCCCTAATTTCCTGATACTCCCTTTTTCTTCTTCCAGGAATCGGAAATTCCGGACAATCGTCGTAGTCGCGATCACATCGCCGAACTCTTGCATTTGGACGATGAATCGGAATTGCGCGAAAGTGCGATCGTTCGTGTGGCCGATGTTATCCTGAAGGATCTCAAGAGGATCTATGAGAACTCAATTAAGCCACTCGAGGGACTCTACAAATACCGCGATCTCAGCAATCGCCACTTTGGCGATCCGGAGATCTTCTCCAAGCCATTGGTGCTGTTCATGGGTCCCTGGAGCGGTGGCAAGTCCACGCTGATCAACTATCTCACGGACAATGAGTTCACGGAAGACTCGTTGAGAACGGGAGCCGAACCGTCGCCGGCGTACTTCAACATTCTGATGCACGGCGAGAAGGCGGAAGTTCTGGATGGCACTCAATTGGCTGCCGACTGGACATTCGCAGGTCTGCAGAAGTTTGGCCAGGGTCTGGAAGATCGTCTGCGCGGATTGAAGCTGCCCAGCAAGCTTCTCGAGAAGGTACAAATGTGCTTCATATTGCTTTGACCCTGGGCTAGAGCGCGCGACATCATCGCGCATATGAAGGTCACACGCTCCAAAGAAGAGACAGTAGTTTTTGTCACTCTGGGGAGCGCAATAAGCCATATTGTCCCGTGTGTGCTGAGCATTAATCGTGGCGCATCCCCAAAATAACTCCGCCATGACGGCTTCTCTGGCTTTGGGCGCAAATGACGTCGTCGGTGGCATTAGGAAAGGCTGTTGCGGTGCTATTTTCGTGTGCGCCACATCTAAATTTAGTGGATTCACCGAATCTTCTCCACATCACAAGAAGAATTTGCCCATTAATCTCCCTAACCGCCCTCTCTTTTCATACCTCTGCCCAGGTGAACATCGTGGAGATTCCCGGCATCCTCGAGGTGCGCAAGCAAGTGTCCCGCCTCTTCCCCTTCAACGATGCCTGCCAGTGGTTCATCGATCGCGCCGACATCATCTTCCTGGTCTACGATCCGTCCAAGCTGGACGTGGGCCCAGAGACTGAGGCCATTCTGGATCAGTTGAAGGGACGCGAGTACCAGACGCGCATCATTCTCAACAAGGCCGATCAGGTGAAGCCAGAAGAGCTGATGCGCGTGCAAAGCGCCCTGATTTGGAACATCTCGCCACTCATGTCCTCCGCCCAGCCGCCCATCATGTACACCACCTCGCTCTGGTCGCTGCCATTTGAGGGCGGAGCGCCCGTGAGGCTGCTTCAGGCGCAGGAGCGGGCTCTCCTGCGCGATCTTCGCTCCGCCATTGACAAGAGGATCGAGAACAAGATCGCAAGTGCGCGTCGATTTGCAGTGAGTAAAAAATTAAGAGGGAGACTTTTAAGACAGAAAAAAACTCTTGAACGTCTTGCAATGCTTCGCAGGTTCGCGTACGGAACCACGCCAAGATGGTTGATTGCTACTTGACGACCTACTACAACCACAAATCCCTCTTCGGCAACAAGAAGCAGATCTCGGATCAGATCATCGAGCACCCACAAAATTACCACATCTACGAGGGACTCTCCACACTCACCAACATCTCGCGATACGATCTGCCCGATCCCGAGGTCTATCGTGACTTCTTCCGCCTCAATCCGCTGTACGAATTCAAGAAGCTCTCCGAAACGTGCACTTACTTCCGCGGCTGTCCCATCAACAAGCTCGACGTGTCCATTGCCTACGATCTGCCCGAACTGGGCGGAAAGTACAAGAAGCAACTCGAGACGGCCTTGACGCAACTGGAGAAGGAGGCCGAGGACAGCAAGGAGTCCACCGGCAAGAGTTGAAAAGGCTGACCGACAGGGGCGCACTCCTTTCACCGCCTTTCTTTTTTGTACACCACATCAAGATGATCCCCAACTTTTGCCCCTCCCTCCAGATTCTCTCTCTCCCCTCTTCATCACGATTCGCGACACATTTTAACTCTCCTCTCTTCCTTTCTTTCTCTTCTTTCTTTCGAGAGACAAGACAATCGGGACATGTATCCTTGACTCCTCAGTCCAGCGCACCGCAACAACTCATCCGCCTTGGAGGGTCTGCTGGATTGCGGTTTTTTCTGCGACTCTTGCGCGCAATTGTGTTTCTTTCTTTTTTTCTTTTTTTTTAGTTAAAAGGCAAGATTTTGAGAAATATATATATATTGAGAGGAAAAGGTTGAAAACGAGAACTGATTGAATTCGAATTGCCACACATGATTTGTAAGTTTATTGAAGGATTAAATAAAATTGCGGCGATGTAAATAAAGGAGAAGAAAAGGTGTTTTCTTGTTGAATACTCAAAATATCTATTTATATTGGATTTCTGACCTTGCTGTATATTGTTCCTCTGTGAGAAGAGACGCCTTTATGCCTTCCACTTTGTCGATCCTGGGCAGAACGATGGCCACATATCCTTCTCCCTCGCTCTTCATCATTTCCGGACGCTCGACAATCCTCGGATTCACCTCAATCAGTCGCCCCGTGATGCAGCTGATGATCTTATACTCCGATTCGTCCTTGCACTTGATCATGCCCAAGGCAGTGCCCGGTTGAAGCTGCATTCCGCCCTTCTTCGCCTTCCCGGACACCTGATTCTTGCTCCTGTCGTAATTCCCGATGTCGTACGTGATGGAGGCGATTCCCTTCTCAAAGGCCACATGACCAGGAGCCAAGCCAATGAGGCAGATGCGATTTGAGTGCAGCAGAACCAGGTGATCCTCGCCCACTTTCTCCGGCCGCACGTGATAATATCTCGTGTAGAATCTGTCCACAACTGAAGGATATTCCCTGGCAGGATCGTACTCCTCCGTGATGTCAGGCACTCTCACGTCTCCCACATGGTAGTCAAGGTCAGGAGTGTAGTAGTACTGCTCCAGATCTTCGCCCTTTTCCATCTTCTCACTCTTCATCCTTGGAATTTCTGATGCGGTCTTGAGTTTTGCTGATCTTCTTCCTTGACTCGTCAAAATTGCGCTTCTGATTGTCCGCTCGCTCCTGCCTCAGGCACCTGTGCATCTGCCTGTCCAGATCGTTGCACTGGCCCAGGAATTTTCCAAAGGGATTCTGCGTGTCCGGATAATTGAAGAGTTATGTAAACACGTTGTGAATATTTCAAAACACATTTTGAAGTGGAAAATCTCTGATTTTACCTCTTTATGGCACTTCTGGAGAGCTTCAATGATTAAATTACATTCATCTGTGTGAAGATTTGACGACAAATTGGGGTGCATTTCCTATTTATACGAAGAAAACACGTTTTCACAAAGTTTCCAGTCAGCCGCAAAACACCCAAAATTCACCATTCCATGTGACAAAACATTGGTGGTGAGAAACTTTGACAAATACACTGTAAAAAACATATCCACCTCTGGCATGGTGCGAGGAATTTCACAAATTGTGTAAAAAGTTAGTTTAAGCAGCAGATTGCAGGTAAATCATGTCCGGAAGCAAAGTACCTAAGGTGTCCAAGGATGAGGAGGTGGAATCCGACGCCAGCATGGACGATATCTACTCAGGAAACGAGGTAATGCTTTGTTTTGCTTGCCCATAACCTCACCTTGCGCGCCCCGGACGAGGACTCATGCTTGTTTTTCTGTTTGCAGAAGCTCCAAGTGGATTTTGAGGGCAGAAATCCCATCGACAGTGACTTCGATGGCATCAAGCAGATGCTGAATCAACTCTTCCTCAATGCCACAATCAACACAAATGAGCTGACAGACCTGCTGATTGCCCAGAACTACGTAGGCAGCGTGATCTGGCAGAGCGATGTGGACGACGAGGAGGATGAGAGCGACATGGATGACTCGGGACTGATATTTGGCATCACCTCAGTGCTCAACATCAGCCAGAAGCTGGAGAAGGAGAGCATAAAGCAGATCAGGCAGTATTTGCTGGAGAAATCACAAAGTGCCGCCGATGCTGCCGGAAAGCTGAAGGAGATCCTGGAGGATGTTGACCATCCCGTGGGTTTCCTCGTCAACGAGCGCTTCATCAACATCCCTCCAATGATTTCTATTCCACTGCTGGACAGCCTCCAGAAGGAGATTAATCGCGCTGTGACGAAAAATATGCCCTTCAAGTTCGAGTATTTCCTCATGATCCTCAAGTACTACAAGACAGACGCCAAGAAGAAGTCCAAAAACTTCGACGAAGTGAATTTCTCCAATCCCGAGGAGGAGGTAATCGCCAAGGATGCGATTCTGTCCTTTGACTATTCCGTGGCTGAGGCGGACACAGGATTGACCGGCAATTGGCTGGAAGACGACGTCGCTTTGACTCCCTACAGGAAAGTCATTGTGTTTGAGGCGAGAAAACTGCCGGAAATTGTTGGGAGAATCAAGGAATTTGTTGAATAAAAGAGACAACCCCCCAAAACACCCTGTGAAATTTGTATTTTCGGTATTTTCATCAAACGCGCTCTGATTGCCAAATTAGGAAAACAAGAGTTCAACGGCATCGCCGGCATTCCCGAATATTTTTTGCGGAATATTTTACAGAGAAAAAGCATCGCGGAAATATCACTTAGGGCCAATAAATGTGATGATCTTTCAGCAAATTGAGCTCTCGGCGTGGAATCGAAAGTCTGCTGGACAAACAAGATGCGCCTGTTCAGAGTCACTATCACTATCATTGGCCATGGCTTATCAATGGATTGGTGGGGAAAACAAGTTGGGAAGTGCATACAAGTGCAGCGATCGCGAGTGTGTTGGGCGTTCTTCGATGCAATCGGACGATTTCGCGTGAAGAGATCACAGACGAGGCTTGACCTTTGTGTTTCACTTGCTCACTTGGATGTGACCAGACAACTAACTCGCTCTCGTTTCAGTCAATCGACGCAATTTGCCAATTAAACATCTCCAGTGGCACTTTCCTCAAGTGATTCCAGTGAAAATGGTGGTGAATTTCGGAGCCGGTCCAGCGAAACTGCCCGCAGAAGTGAGTTCGATGGACGCGAAAATGTGTGAATCTCTGTGGCGGAGTTTATGCAGCAATTTTGCACACTTCTCCTCAGGTTCTGGCGGAAGTGCAGAAAGAGCTCGTCAATCATGGCACTTCGGGCATGAGCGTCATGGAAATGTCTCATCGCGGTGCGGATTACAACAAGATCCACGAGGAGACTATCAAGAATCTCGAGGAGCTTTTGTGAGTGTCAAAAAAAAATCCCGCTCTATTCATACTGTGAATCCAAGTGATATATTTATTCTCGAACTGTACATATTTTGCGTCACAAACCGCTTATCACTTTCATAATCAAATTGTAACACAAAGTGAGGAGGAAATATTGGAAATTGAGAGGAATTCAATTTGCTTTACACACACTGAGAGAAAATCAGAGCCACGTTGAATCCAATCTCGCAGGAAATTATCTAATCAGATAAAATAAACAATTGTAAGCATTTCATTTTTATAACAATTTATTACAAATCTACTTCATGTGATACACATTTACAAATGAACGATAACGCAAATTCATTTTACTAAATATAGAGCAAACTAATCCTAATACAAATTCATCTTAATAACTAATTGTGATAATAATGTTAATTAATCCTAATACAAAGAAGTCCAAAATAATTTGAATAATTTACAATTGTTTCTTTAATATATTTCTTAATTTAGAAATGTTCATGAAGAAATTCAGAAAGTCAATTATTATTTAATTGCATTCAATCTGAATCAAGCCTAACCAAAAAGCACACGAAGAATTTCTGTAAAAAGGTCATGGCAAGTCGATCGTGATCAGTGGCGTAGCAAGGACTTCCTCACTTTATTCAGTCGCGATCACAATCTATATTGACCTGAGAAAATATTTATGTATATGTATGATAATAAGGATAATAATAAAAATGATTAGCATGTGAAAATTGCTTTACGAATGGAAGATAAAAGAATATGTTATTTCAGTCTCATTGTATTTCGTATTAACTTAACATTTATTGTGTTCAACAATAGGATTTGTTAGTCCAAGACATCTGACAAAAGCAAACACAAGGAATTATTACATTAATTCTAATTTTGGATGGTTGAGGATCTGCTTTTGGATATCCTCATGAACCCCTCTTAACAGTCTTTTTGCATTATAGATCTTCAAATTATTGGGTCTTTCGTCTAGGAATGGTAGAATGTCATATATGAAAGAACCACTAATGTTATTTTGAAAAATTGTAATTGGGATCACCATGATGCGCGTCAAGGAGCGACAATTTCTAATGAACATAAGTATACCATCATCACTCACTTGAACACAGCTGTCAAGAATAAGAATTTCGAGATTCTGCATGTGTTTCGATGATGCAATCTCAGTAAGTTCTTCATCGGTCAAAACGAATCTTTCAAAACTCAACACCTTCAGCTTGGTCAAGGAAGTAATGGCACGCAAAATGCTTGGAGTCAATTCATAGCCACTTATGTCGATCATTCTAAGGCAGAGACGCTCCAAAGTCTCCCAAGCGGCTAATTCTGTTAGGCAAATATCGACGTGCTCATATTGCGGCACAATACTAAGTGTCAGGTGTTTTAAGTGTCGAAATTCTCCTATCGCACTGTAGTCAATTACATCGCAATTGCACGTTCTAGCAAGTGTAAATCTCTCCAGGCTCTTAAGATGAGTCGCGGCTACTCGAAAGTATTGGGAGGCTAGCGACGGTTTCATAAAATTGCTGCCGAAATTGATGCTCTCGAGTTCAGGATTATGCTCACAAAATTGTTTAAAGGCGGACAAATTGAGCCAATTACAATGTGCTATGTTAATTTCCTTAATATTCCGCAAACCCACCAAACACTTCCCGGTTATTTGGTGATTGTTAGATAAATCTAGAATCTCTAAATGCTTCGCCTCTTGCAAGTAAACACCAATATCATCTGTAAGATCACAGTTTACAAGCTTGAGCATTTTGAGATTTCCAACCATCTTGGCGAGGAATTGGAAACTCACTTCTTTGCCGTACACATTTGTTAAGCAGAATTCTCTTAAATTGCCAAATTTGTTAATGAAATCAACGAATGTTGGACATTTACGACTAGATTCGTGAGTATCGTGACAAGAACAGGGTCCAAGATTCTTTAGGAGTTTTCTCCACTCTCCCCTCCACTCCACACCCAAATTCAAGACGCGTCGGGTCTTATAAACCATGTCAGCAACAATGCTAAATCTCTCGCACACCTTTTCCAACACCATCAACAGCATAGGATTCTTCACAAACATGAAGATGGAATAGAGACAATCATCAGGCAACATCAGAATTGACGGCGTGTCGGCGTCCTCGGCGTCCATCTTCCCGTTAGCGTCTGTCATGTCGGCACGTGCGTCTTTCTCTTCCGTGAATTCCACACCTTCAATTGCAGCTTCTTTGCGGTACTCACTCGAGTTTTGCGATGCTTGCGATGATCCGTCCATTTCCTTCCTTATTTTCGCTCTTCCAATCGATTTATGAAGATTTTCACTACGTTTTCACTACTGTCTGCGGCTTCTGCGGCTTCTCGATGTGAAGTGTGGAAAATTTGAACAGCAAGTGCCGAAAGGTATCCCGGCAGGAATAGTTCTGGCGGAAATAGCCCATGGAAGGTCTAATACTTTCCAATGTAATACGTGTAAAGCATTACATGCAATGTAATGTAATGTGCTTGTGATGTCACCAGCCACAAATCATCTCACCTTTGCATATTTCAACTTTGAAGGCTTTAGAGTCTCTTAAGATACATGCGTCCAGACCTTTTAAGCCACAGGACAAACAATAATTTTAAAAATAAAATATGAAATATGATTCCTTCTCTGTTCAGGAACATTCCGGATGACTACAAGGTTCTGCTGCTCCAGGGCGGCGGAACGGGCCTCTTCGCGGCTGTGTGCATGAACCTGATGGGTCGCACTGGGACAGCGGATTACGTTGTGACTGGTTCCTGGTCCGCGAAGGCGGCTAAAGAGGCCGCCAAGTATGGCAAAGTGAATCTCGTCCTTCCGAAAGTGACCAAATACACTGAGATTCCCGACCAGAAGACATGGAAATTGGATCCGAATGCCTCATACTTGTACTATTGCGACAACGAGACTGTCGATGGCGTTGAATTCAACTTTATTCCCGAGGTTCCCAATGGTGTGCCGATCGTTTGTGATATGTCGTCGAATATCCTGTCGCGCTGGTTCGACATCAGGAAGTTCGGGCTGGTCTTTGCCGGAGCGCAGAAGAATATTGGACCGTCGGGAATTACGGTCGCAATCGTGCGAAAGGATTTGATGGGACATGCCATGACTGTAACGCCATCAATTCTAGACTTTGCCGTTCTGGCCAAGGACAATTCCATCCACAACACGCCGCCGACATTCATGTAAGGCATTCGTAATGTGTGAGGACATTCTTGAGATCACTAAAGCAATTCTCTTGCAGAATCTATGTCATGGGCCGCGTGTTCGCGTGGATCAAGCGTCAGGGAGGAATCAAGGCAATGTACGACGCTTCTCTGAAGAAATCGCAGATGATCTACTCTGAAATGGCGCGCTCGGGAGGATTCTACTCTTGTCCACTGGACGAGGCTTGTCGCAGCCGCATGAATGTGCCTTTCAGGATTGGAGGGCCGCAGGGCAATGATGAGCTGGAGAAGGCCTTCCTGAAGGGCGCAGAGGCCCGAAAGATGGTCCAGCTGAAGGGCCATCGCTCAGTTGGAGGCATTCGTGCCTCTCTCTACAACGCTGTCACGATTGAAGACGCCGAAACTCTGGCCAAGTACATGAGAGACTTCTTTGAAGAGCACAAGAAGTAAACTGCCTTTCATATCATTGTATTTGACTGACTTTGTACAGGAATTTTGGCACAAAGTAAATGCAAATGAGTCAAATGAGCTTTTCACACCGGAATATGACATCAAGAGCCTCTTCGAGAATTGCATTTGTCCCTCTGAGATTGTCAACGACCGCCTTGGCCCACCTGAAGTACTCCTTCCGTCTGCCATCTGTCCATCCCACCGGCAGACATCTCTGGAGATCCCTCAAGTTGTACAATTTGTCGGCAAGCTTCACTAATCGAGCCTCATAAGAGGATTTGGCAGCATTTTCAATCTGTTTGGCTTTCCTCACATCCTTCGGGAGGGTTTTATCGTCCGTCACCTGCGCATGGGAAGAGAATTTATTACTCTTATCAATTAGGGATGATTGTTAAATTTATACCTCCGCCACTACGTTGCGAACTTGCGTCCCAAAGTGTTCCTCAATTTCCTCAAAAGTTGTTTCTGTGTCCTCAACGGTGTCGTGCAGAATTGCCGCCAGCAACACTGGAAGATCCCAGATTCCCGCCTCGTCGGTCAGGATGTAAGCCACACCGACTGGATGATTTATATAGGGGGTTCCATCCTTGTCCTTTCGCCGCTGATCCTTGTGCTTCACAGCAGCAAAATTTACACATTTTGTGTACATTTTCAAACTTTCCTCCATGGAAGACATGCTTTCTAAAATGGCCAACTGTAGATGTCGCTGAAGACTATTGCTCACGAGAGGGCGCAGAAACTGGAGGAGAAAATTGATGCGTGGTGTGAAAAAGGGTCGACGATTCTAAGATTTCTCCGCACTTTCACGATGCGAATTGATACACCTCGCGAAACACGTGCTTATTTGCCGGCTGATTTATCGTTCCCGCAATTGCACAATGTCAACTCACTTTTCGCAATACTGCAGAATTGCGCTATCTTCAGGCTCGACTGGCTTTTCCTTATCCCCTCGTTGTCAGACACTGAACTGAAGAAGGGTAAACAAAGTGTACAATCTGTGTTATGTTGAACTGCCGCGTCTTTTCATGCAACACACAATTTCATTTCCTCATGACCTTGACTATGCCCTCTCCGGCAATCCCATCACTTTTCTCGTAATTCTGACGCTATTGCAATTTTTGAGATGATTTTATCACGCACACATTGACGTCTGCATCTTAGGCGGAGTGTGAGTGAATGAGGGTTGGATTGAATGAAAACCGTTCGCGAGAAGGTTCAGACTTTCAAAAATCTTTTTATTTGATGTAAAAACCGTGAAAAATTGATAATTTTTGATAGTAAAAACTCGCATTCACATGATTAAAAAATAAACAAATGATCGCAAATGATCTAATTTGGAGAAGGCGTGAAATTTTCCAATATTTCATCTCAAAATTTCGCAATCTTATCTAGTCAGAGACTGGACTAACACCACCAAAGGCCAACTGGTGGGAATTCGCGGTCAAACTGTGAGAATCCAACAGTGTTGTGCTTGAGCTCTTCGTATCAGTTCCACAACAACGGGTTCTCCGACAAGCCGCATTTTCGCCTTCTCTGAAGTCTCTAAAACCATTTAAAAATTGCATTCAGTTCACTCTTGACAATCCCTTGTGTACAGATATCTGCAAATCATCCCTTAGTTTGTGGTTTTTGCCCTTAAAAAAATTCCAATCATAAAGGTATGTTTTCTGTGAATGACTCCAGAAGTGCTTCGATACTTTTGCTGCAATTTCATTTTACACACTACTTAGCTATCCTTCCAACTGTAAATAATCAGCTTGTGTTATTTATTTTTTTAATTGTAATCACATAGTTTTTGAGAAAAATGTATCTTTTGTGCACCTTTTATTTAGTGCTTTTGTAACTAAAATCCTATCTTGTTTGCGAAATATTATAGCTAGAGCTGAACTTTTTTGCATTTAGTCGTCTTATCAGTGGGTAAGTAAATCTCGAAAGTTTACCATTGTTTTTTATGTCATTTTACATAGTAGATTTTGTGTATTTTCTACGTTTTTTTCTTCTACCTTTGCCACGAGAGAATGCCAATGAGGTGCGGTTTTACTGGCAGTTCTTAATTCAGTGTGAGAAAAAAAGTCTCATCGAGACTCTTGTGTGTGAATCATGAAATCGGTTCGTGTTCACGCCATGAATTCTCCACATATTCCCGGCTTTTGGTGTGTGTGTGTGTATGTGTGAGCATGGTACACTTTTTCCGTACATTTTCTGCTCATTCAGGGAGATATAATGTGTAGTATTTAGCACTACACCACCTCATGAAGCCGTGCACACAGTGTAAAGCCCTGCTAGAGGTTACTTAGAAGTCAAAGAGTTGCCTTCGGCTCTCCATCGAGAGAATTATACTGAACGATTTTCCCTCGGGACAATCGTGCATACAATTTTGCATGCTTCAGAGGATGCTCAAGCGAATTTAGGGAAGCGCCGCTGACATCACTCCAGACCGCGTGATGTCACGTTTCTTCTTCAAACGCCCAAAATAGTCCAGAATGAAGGTTGAGAGTTTGGCAAAATTTTCCATAAAAATCACTCTGTGAAATCCACACCGAAAGTGTTCCAAGGCGAGCAACCCAACGAGAGAATCCTTTGAAGGCAGCAAAATGAATAAAAAAAACTCTTATCTTCAACTCTTGCAAATGATTTACAGTGGCGCTTTTTTTATGCCACATATCAGTTTTTTTTTCTCGAAAATAAACTCGGTGTCAATGACAGAATAATCGGCTTTTTAACCCACTCAATTTGTGACTTTAACTGCATGGAAAAATTCCCTCTGAGAGACGGTGAAGAAATGCGTGTGTCGTCACTATCTTATCAAACTCTGTGTGAGCAATAAAATCGTCTCCAGCCACTAACCATTGATGCCTAGTAAAAATGTTATTATTACACTTTTATCGCGCGGCACAGAAATTGGGACAAGGAGTAAAGAGAGACAGAAAAAAACATTACAAATTTGTCAAGCAGTGATAAGAGAGCAGAAAGAGAGCTCCAGAAAGTGTACATTTTTCCCAAGCACAGACAGATAGAGAGAAAAAAGTGTTTATCAGCCGAAATTGTGATGGTGAAAAAGTGCGCTGAACACTTTGATAACACGTGCAAAACAGCTGATTACACTGGGTGGATTGACTAAAATAGCTGAATAGACAATTTCGAGGGCGCGTAAGTTTTGTAGTCGCGCGCGTAGGTCAGTCATGCTGACTGATGCTTGCACAACACACTCAGAGATGTGTATCAAATCTCCATGTTTTCATAACTATAAAACTACTTCTCTGTGGTGGTAAAAATAGCATAGAAACATTGTAAAGTTCGTATCATTCATAAATCATTTTCAACCATTTTTAACTATGGTTTTGATATCAAGATTACATTAATATTCTAAGGGAGTTATCACACGCTTACTTGAGATTAAAACTGAGCATATTGATCTGAGCACACTCGTATTTCCACTTATTTGTGGCCTTTAAACGGTCCAAACGAGCACAAATTGTCTCACTAGAATATCCTTAAAAGAACACACAAAATTCCTTTCGTTGCTCAAAAATTTGCAGTTTTTCTTGCATAAACTGTCATTAAATTGACATTTGTCGCTTTTTTGTCTATTTCTGCTGCTCCTGCAGACAGTGAACAGCAGAAGAAATAAGACATTGTGATCAACTGAGCAAATTGAGCGTCGCAACATCATCATCATATATTTATGACAATAAATATCTTCTTTCTGTAGAGTTAAGAAGTCTATTTTTGCTACTGGTCACACTCTCTTGATAATCTCTGCGTTCTCAGAATTTCCAGTTTACTCAAAACACACAAAGCCTTTATCAACATGTGAACGCATGCCACGCACCTGGCCCTTATCTCTCTTCTCGGCTTGTGTGGAAATTTTGGATTTTGGCAAATATTGGCTCACTTTCTTCCTTATCAAACGAAAAGGGCAAGAATGTGTTGGACTGAAAATTTTCCACCCCAAAATCTCGCTGCTGTTTATTCACGAAAAATCACGCTGCACGTGCGCGTGCGTGCGTGAAGGGTGAGTGTCTTCCGGGAATGCATTATGCAAGCGCGTGCTAAAATTGGTGTGCAAGAGCTGTGGCTCTTCGGCGATGCATTCGCGCAGAGTACACGGTTGCAAAAGGGTGGCTCGGTGAGCAGACGGCGACTGTTGTGGGTGTTCTGAAGGGGAAAGAAGGTGCGCGAAGAGCCGTGGAAGCGCTCTGGGAGGCTGCGTGGGGCTGTGGAGGGAGATCCGGTGGCGTCTTCGGTGCGCTTCGGACGACGATCGGCGGCGCCGCGAGAGTCGCCTCGTCACTCGAGTCGGTGCTCTTGGCCAGTCCACAACCGACACCGGTTCAGCTGAGAATCCGCAGGAACAGTGCGCGATTGTGCCATTCTGAAAATTTTCCACAGTTTCTCGCGAACTCTTTCACGACACACCGTCTGCTGTGCGCGAAGCGCGGCCAGAATCCGCCGAGTGACTTTGCTGGCCTCTGCCACCCCCTCAGGATGGTCTGGACAAGTGCCTACGACAGTGCCGAGGTAAACCCTTTGCCCTGCACGCGCAGCCCAAAATCGCCGGACTGAAGAATTCTCTTTGTGTGTCTCTCTTTCCACCAAATTCTCATTCTTATTTCTGTGCACGAATCGGTCGCGATGTTCGGGGCGAAAAAAAATCAATTCACAACATCATCGTCCTTCACCAAGGACACAGCGAAGGGGAAGTGAGACGGAGAAGTTATTAACAGTGTACACACATTTCTTCTCACTCAACTCTGGGTGGGAAATTGCACGCCAAAAATAAGCACACGCACGACACGGAGAGATCGTCAAGTGTGTGTCTGAATTTCTAACAATTCTCGCGATATCGCGCATTCTACCGAGAACCCGATAAGAGCGGTTTTCAGGTGTGAAAATCACCGTCGATGATCTGAATGCGAAATTGCGCCTTCTCTGCCGACCATTAATTGGCCACACTAAAAGCATCAATTATGTAATGCTCGCGGGATTACGTAAAAATCTCGACAAAGAAGAGAACATTTTCGACTATGAAGATGCACCGGATGCACACGAAAGTTCCCAACTTATCCCTTCAGTTTTGCATGTTTATTTTCGAAGCGATAAATGAAAAGTCTACTCTGAAATAAACACGTCTCAAGACTCAAGATCAAATTCACATTTAGTGTGTTTATCCACATAATGAACTTAAGACTCAACTCTCTGTCTGAAGAGAGATTCTCTGAATTGGGCTGTATTACAAGCGCGCCTCAATCATTACAATGGCTTACAATCAAGGACAGAGTGTGATGGACAAAAAGTTCTATACCTAAAATTTTAAGCGTGACGCAATTGCAATTAACTTTATTTTGCTACAAGGTTTTAGCACACTGCAAAGGCAACGGCAGTGAGAGAAGAAATGTCTGAAATTTCCAAAGATGTCTTTCTGCGATTGATTTCATTGACAAAATGCATTTGTAGCTTGTCAGTTGTATTTACTGATGATTAGGTATCTAATTTTGTAATCTCTTAAGTTACTCTCTAATCGTATTTCTGTTATCATTGTTTCGTTTCTTGACTCAGCGCTCAAAAAGAAATTCAATTCCACCAAAAATATCGCAATCAATTCAAGAAAAATCATTGAAAATGTGCAAAAAATAGAATTTTTCGCTTAATATGAAAGGAAATATTTCAAACTAATAATCGCTATTATGTTTTCTCTTCTATTTAACCCAATATATTTCTCAAGGGGGAGATAATATGGTCAGAAGTGGTGTACAGATCAGTAGAAGTTTTAGGAAGTGGAAATGTTTCAATTTATGCAATATTTGGCTCATAAATGTGATTTTAGTTTTATTATAAACAATCTATGATGCCTAAAGTCCTGAAAATGGTGTACAGATTTTGGCCATATTATCTTCCCCTTGATTTTTCTTATCTTGGTTATGATCTGTTATTACTCTTTTCTGAAAACATTGAATGCATTTCCGAACAATATGGTGATGGGAAAATTGTTTAGTGCGCACAATAAGTGCAAAGCAGAGCAAATAAATAGTTTGTGATAAGTTTTCTGAATGCACACTAATTGTTTTCTCCTCTTTCTCTCTCTCTCTCTCTCTGTGCGATGGGAAAATCTGCAGATGAGCACAAGTGGCAAGAAGATGACGACAGCCGAAGCCGTTTCTCACCTGGAGCACATGTGCAGCCTGGACATCGACTCCCAGGCGGCCTTCACGCGCCTCTCGGGCATCATCTGCACCATTGGGCCGGCGTCCAACAGCCCTGAGATGCTGCAGAAGATGATGGAGACTGGCATGAACATCGCCCGACTGAACTTCTCTCACGGATCGCACGAGTATCACGCCAACACGATCAAGAACATCCGCGAGGCGGTGAAGAACTACTCGGCCAAGCTCGGCATGGCCTTTCCGCTGGCCATTGCGTTGGACACGAAGGGTCCGGAGATCAGGACGGGTCTGTTGGACGGCAGCGGCACGGCCGAGGTTGAGCTGAAGCGCGGCGGCAAGATCAAGCTCACCACCAACACGGCGTTCCAGGACAAGGGCAACGTGGATCAGGTGTTCGTGGATTATGCCAACATTGTGAACGTCGTTGTGCCCGGAAATCGCATCTTCGTGGACGACGGATTGGTCTCTCTGATTGTGGATGAGATTTCTGGCGATACTCTCACGTGCACCATTGAGAATGGCGGCGTTCTGGGCTCACGCAAGGGTGTCAATCTGCCGGGTGTGCCCGTGGATTTGCCCGCTGTGTCGGAGAAGGACAAGTCCGATCTGCAGTTTGGCGTGGAGCAGGGCGTGGACATCATCTTTGCCTCCTTCATTCGCAATGCGGCTGCACTGAAGGAGATCCGCGGTGTGTTGGGCGAGGGCGGCAAGGCCATCAGGATCATCTCGAAGATTGAGAATCAGCAGGGAATGCACAATCTGGATGAGATCATTGACGCTTCCGATGGCATCATGGTGGCTCGTGGAGACTTGGGCATCGAAATCCCACCGGAAAAGGTCTTCCTGGCCCAGAAAACCATGATTGCCCGATGCAATCGTGTAAGTTTTGAACTCTTGATATTTATTTATTTGATGTTATTGCTTCCGAAACACAAAACGTTGCCAGTAATTGCATGGCCATGAGGATGGCGCGCGGTTATATGACTTAATACGTAAGAGCAATCAGAGAATTTTGACTTCTGACGTGCTAAAAATAGACCCCAGAATTTCATGCCAAAGCCATCCGGTGCGCAGAGAATCATAAAGAGTCGAACACATATGATGAGGAGTGGAAAAGGCAATATAATGGATTTTATGTGGGGTTTCCCTTTAACCATTTGGGTTGTGAAAATTAATGTGTTTCCTTCTTCGTGGTTTTGACCTTTTCAGGCTGGAAAACCTGTGATTTGCGCCACGCAAATGCTCGAGTCGATGATCAAGAAGCCTCGCGCGACTCGTGCTGAGATCTCCGATGTGGCCAATGCCGTTCTGGATGGTGCTGACTGCGTGATGTTGTCCGGCGAGACGGCCAAGGGTGAATATCCGCTGGAGTGTGTTCTCACCATGGCCAAGACGTGCAAGGAGGCCGAGGCGGCGCTCTGGCAGAAGAACCTCTTCCAGGATCTCGTCAGTCAGTCACCGTCGCCACTCGATGCCGCCCACTCGGTGGCCATCGCGGCCGTCGAGGCGTCCAGCAAGTGCTTGGGTGCAGCCATCATCGTCATCACAACTTCGGGACGTTCTGCTCATCTCGTGTCCAAGTACCGTCCGAGATGCCCAATCATCGCAGTCACGCGCTTCCCGCAAACAGCCCGCCAGTGCCATCTGTATCGCGGAATTCTGCCACTCATCTACGAAGGTACAAACTCGTGAAGACTCTCTGAATGTCCTCTTTAACACCATCTTCACACACACTTTGCAGAACAAGCTCTCAGCGACTGGCTGAAGGATGTCGATGTGCGCGTCCAGTTTGGCATGAATTTCGGCAATTCGCGTGGATTTATCAAGAAGGGCGACCCAGTGATTGTCGTCACCGGCTGGCGACAGGGTTCCGGCTTCACCAATACCATTCGCGTCGTGTAAGTTAAACGAAAATTGTGATAAAATCTCTGAAGTATATAATTAACGTATTGCTTTTCATTATTTTCAGAAATTATGAGTAAAAAAAATATGAATCATCTCATGGAAAGTCACTTTCCGCCCCCACGAAGTCAAACATATAATTGAGATACTGAAATAATTATAATATTATATGTGTTGCATTAGATTGCAAATAAATGTGAACAATAAAATTTAACAAGAAAAAAAAAATGTGTTTTCATTCACAATGTTATTTATTGACTGTAGTTTTATGTTATCAATTGTTTATCCTTCTTAAAATATGGCATAAATTTACACATTCATAGTTTCTTGGTTTTTTTTTGAAATTTGTAAAGACATTCATTTTTTTTCCAAAAAAATTCCTCCCCTTTTCGGAGTCACAAACACTGAGAATTCTTTTTCTTTTATTACTTCTTGACTTTCTTTTGCTTTTTTTTATAACAATGACGGGGAAGTTGATTTCTTCACAAGGGGGACAATTTATGCCGAAAATTTCTTTTTAAGTAATCTTCAATTTAAAATTACACAGACTAGAAAAAAAATTATTCAGTTTTTTTTTTGTTTGCAAACATTCAGGCTCACGCATAGTTAAGAGTGATTTACGTTTTTTTCTTTTCTTTTCTTTTTGCAAAGATGTTTCTCTGCACATTTTTGCTGTTGAATTTTTCTTTGTCTTCAAAATATTAGTCTTTCAATGTGGCTTTACTACTAAGGCCGTTTCACTTCTATATAAATGTACTGCTCAAATTGCTGCGACTTTGTGAGTTTTTCTTTCATTTATCCTTATTCACTATATTTAATTCATGTTTGATTCCATTTTTTCCACTGCACAACGAATTCGCCAAAAACGAAAACGTTCATGAGCACAAAAATTACAATTATACCAATAAATAAATAAATATCTACACTATAGAATTTCCTCGAGGAAAGGAGGAAATATCCTTTATCATCCTTCGTAAATTTACTTTCACATTCACAGTAAAAACTTTTTTTTTTACTCTCAGTGCAGAAAAATAAAATGGCTTTCTAATATGGTTTTTTTCTTCATTATCATCATCTTTTCCCTTCACAATTCACGGCGAATGAAAAAGCGTTAAAAATTTTTTTCCTCTTGCTTATTAAGTTCGGTGATATGTTAGTTCAATATTCTTCCATTTCGGTCAATATCTGGCTTCACGAAATCATCATTACCCTGATTCTCCATATTGTTATTTATTTCTCTTCTTCTTTTTTTTTGCTATACTTGTTTATAGTTTTTGTCTTTAATTCTTTTTGTTTTCCTTATGAAATTACCATCTAGAAAGTTTCTTTTTTTTTAAATCTCAAAATGTGCGTTCAAATCGTTAAAATACAATTTTTTTTTGCTGACCATCAAACAGAAAACATTCACTACAAATGCATGAATTTTTGCAATTCATCCTTATTATTTCTCTATTGGTTTCATTGATTTCAATTATTATTGTGTGTTTATTCATTTTTGTGTGATTATATTTTACAATTTTTCTTCCATTTAATATCCATTTTTCTCACTGAAACATGTATTTTTTGTTCTTTTACGTCTCTATTTTGTAACATAGAAAAATAAATAATGCATATTGATTCAAATATACAAATGTCTCTTCTTAAAACTTATGTGTTTCACTAGAATTCCTCTTTCTTTCAAATAATCCTATATGCTGTCCTAACCCTAATAGTTAAAATCCTCTGCAAATATACCTTACAATTCCACAAAATATACCAATTCAACGCCAATAGTAGAAGAGCGTCTCATTAGGTAAAATTATTATTCATTCGATTCAATGACCTGTCATTTTTCTCCTTTTTCCTTCTTCTGCAAATCTTCAATACAATGGATGGATGTGTTGAGCAACGCATAAATGTACAGTTTTCTTCTCGTCCTTAATCATCACTACTGTGCTATATGTATTTATAAATTACCTACGATTAGATAGAGATTAATTTTGGTATTAATTTCCACGTCTCTCACTTCAAAGACCACTAATAATTATGAGAACTATTTACGACTAAAAATGTCTCAATAAGTTATCTTTTTATCCACTCCATTCGAATTTCTATTCTTCTCACATTCACTATCATTAAATATTTGCACATAATTTCTATAATTAGTAGTGTTGAATACATAATATATATGATATATATATATATATTTCTAAGTTATTCTCAGGCCACAAAATAGACAGTAAATATACCACTTCAAATAGCATTCTTGTTTTTTTTTCCACCCTTTAAGACCTGTTTTTATCCATTTTACTGAAAATATCTGGGTGTAATCTGTTCATTGTTCCATTTGCCTTATTCAGAAAAAAACATTCAAAACTGATTTTTATTAAAAATGTGTACACAAATAGAAAAGGAATATCCTTTTCACTTATATGCAACAATTATGATGGTTCACGATTTCTGGTGGCTCTCAAAATATTAACCTTTCATTAGGCCTCAAAGAATTCTCATCTTCGTCATCTTTTAAATAGTTTTTTTTTGCATTAATGGGGCAATAATTCCAAAGGTATAATCCATCTTCAAATACCCTAATCAAAGTGTCTATCATTCCTCTTTGTAAATAAATAGTATTACCTCTCTCTCTCCCTCTCTCTCTCTCTCTCTATCATCTGTTTCCTTTTGATACACACAGGCACAATTGTATCATTTTGAGTAGTTTGATTACGGTGCTACACTTGCTGAAGATGTTCATCTTATCTGACTATACATATCAATAATTCTGGATTATTACACTCTTCTGTCATTGTCTGGCTTTAGGTGGAAACTAACTACGCATTCTCTTGGCTTCAGGCTCCACTTTGCACTCGTACGTCGCTGGAAATACCATCCCAACAACATCTTCCGGTTGCTGCACAAAACATATAATGAACAAACAAAAAAAAAGGAATGTTGAATATAATATTGTGTTGTGAAACTTTTGGCAGATAAACTTTTCAACTTAAAAAAAAAACTTTCTTCCACACTCACCCGATCAACTTCGCTCATCACTGCAATTGGAGTAGTTTGAGTGGCTTGAGCTACTTTGTGCTCAACAATGAAGAACATATATTCATCATAGAGTAATCGTATTAGATGGAAACTTCCAAAACTTGCAGCAGATCGCAGTGTTAAGTCTCGTATCACCATTGAGCTGTAGAAGCTCCATTTGAGCAAAAACTGTCTCGCTGCCTTGGCAAATGTTGGCTTCCCTCGATACTCCTCCAAGGCAGAATCCACCACAAGACGCAACCACGATGCCCACTGTTCGAGGGTGTTTTGCTGCTGCAGAGCAGCTTTGAAGTCATTCTCCAGACGCTGCACCGTCGCCGTATCGCATTGACACACCCACGAAGCTTGTTCCTGCAAACAACAACAAGAAAATCCATCTTTTATACCGAAAAAGAGACGAATATCATTCTCTCTCTTACTTGAACATTGTGAAAATCCACACGATTGAGATCATTGAGCATCTGTGCAATTTGTGAGCTATTCTGCAGCACCGCCCTCGCCGCCTGAGCCAAGTGATTCAGCGAAGTGTATCGTCTCAGTGTCTGACTGAATGCCGACACGGCAGACAATTTAATTTGGAGTATCGAATCTGGACATTCACTCATGGCCGATGAGAGCCAACTCTCGAGATTCTTTGCAAAATTGCGAATAGCTTGAGTGAGTGAACTCGGTATTGGACGCAAGACATCAGGAATGAGAACATCAACCATATTTTGGTAGAATGCAAAATCCACCTGCAATAAAGGTTCAATAAAGCAAATTGTCAATTATGGTTTAATTTCAATTGCAGTATTGAAAAGGAATTATTCCCAATTAAAGAGCTTTTGGTATTCAACGGATTATTGATTGACATTAAAATTTTACTGCAATTAAAAATGAAAGAAGATGAAATTTACCTGTTTGATAAATATCTGCACAGGTTCGCATTGGCATAGAATGTACAATTTGGATTTGCTGAGGTACTTCTCCTCCTCACACTCTTCACCATTATTGTTGTCCTGCACACGCCAAAACTCTCGCCATAGCGACTCAACTGTGCTGAACTCCAAATTCAGCACAGCATCGAGAAAAGCCTCACAATGCTCACGATAAATAGATCTCAGTGTGTCCACATCTTCATATGTCACCTCCTCGGGAAAACTGAAGGTCGTGTCAATGGCCGGAAAGACAGGAATGGCCGCACTTCCGTCACCCAAATATTGCGAACATGCCTCGTATGTTTCAGGCTTAGCGCCCAACTTCTTCGCATTGCGCGTCCCCGTGGATTGACCAATTGAATTGGTCTGACTAGAATTATTGTTGAACGGCTTCTCATCCAGAGCACTCATGAGTGTCGAGCCGGGTTTCACGCGAATGCCATAATAGTGATACTTGGAATTGCCACGAGTGCCCAATCGACGTGTTCGCAGACCCGTGAAAACGGATCTAATTAATTTACCAAAACTCGCAGCATTCACGGCATCCAGCTTGTTTTCATTGCAATGTCTCATGTAGTGATTGTAGAGAGTCGATCGCGGTAGACTCACACCCTCTGCCGTTTCGTAGTTCTCCACCAACCACGCCACCTAATCACACATATATAACACACCAATTTCAATTAATTAACAATCTCCACAACGGCGCAACATTGCTCAGGAGATAAGTAAACATCAACACACAAAAATTACTAAGAACAAAATGCGCGACAAAGAACCAAAAGAATATACATTAAAAAGAGCAGCAATTCTACTGTAAACAACTAAAAAACTAATAAGTAATAGTACTAATTAGAGACCACAGCAAAGGAAAAGAAAGGTCAGAGTCACTCTGGCTGGGAAAAAAAAACAGCACCACGAACAAAACCACCTTACCGTTGCGGGTGATACTCTTGTGGCATGCGATAAGCTAGGTGTATTTTCAGTTTCAGAACTGACAGTGGAGGCTTGTGAGTTCGATTGTCCCTGAATATAAGCCACCTCCTGGCGAGAGGACACCCAATCAGGAAGATAGAAAATTGTTAGATTAGAAGAGAAAGGATGTTTGTGGAATCATTTCACAGCAAATAATATTTTTCTTTCATCTTCTTTACTGAGAAATAATTCTGAAAGTAGTTAAAATAAGATAGCACACGTATTAGGCTAAGACTATGAGAAGTTTTTAACTGATAATCATTCAATTTCTGTATTTTGTACACTTATTATTACCTAGAAATTTTGAGGCTCTCTTTATAATTGGTTTTAATAGAATAAATCTATTTGAAAATTCAGCTTGATTTGACGTCAAAAATAGGAATTGGTAAAAAGGTGTTGCAACATTACGATTAATAACATTTATGAAAGTGGAGAATTTATCTTCTGTGAGATCTAAAACGCTTCTAATGTTGACGTCTGAAGTCAATTCATTTATTTCGTCAAATGAACACAAGACAAGCCGGAAAATTCACGTGAAAATCGAGGAAATAAACAATATTGATGTTCTTAGATTAATTAGTACAATTTGATTGGATTTTTCGGGTAATTTGTACACATTTCAATGCAACAGATTGAGATTATATGTTTCCGGACATCGTACCAAATCGAAATTCGTATTAAATAAACTCAAAACTTTGCCTTGCAACGCTTTCTCGTTCGTATTTCATTTGTACTTTACATGTAAAATTGCAACACCAAATTGGTAGCTTTTATGAACTGAAATACGAAATCTGTAGTATTGCAACGATCAAAAAATCTCCTCAATTTAATATTAATTTCATAGTTATTAGACACAATATTCTTCCCACACCACAAACTACAACATGTTCAACTTATAAATCCGGCGGTAATTGATATTCCCATCAAATTCATTAGTCATTAGTCTATTTAGCAACTCACATGAAGATTATTATCAGTAGACATTAAGTGGGCAGTAAATATGAAAAGGATATTAGTTGACATAAAAGGTTCTTTTACTCACTGCAGCAATCGTCTGAGGCGAGGCTCTGGTTTGTGTTGTACTCAGGAGGGTATCATCAACAGGAACTATGTAGTCAGAAGAAGTGTGATTGGTAGCCGCCGCTCCAGATGCCGTGTAGTTTCCCGTCGCTGTCGTGTAGTACTGCTGTCCTGCCGTTCCGTAGTCACCGACAGCGTACACCGGATACGCCCTAATGCAGAAGCACATTAATTCACAGTCTCTTATAGCTGATTTTCCAATATCAATATTCATTACATTTGCGTTTGCCCCTGACCCGTCGTTGTATACAATTCCGAATCCACATACTGCACATGATAAGCACCGTGTGAGGCCACATTATCTTGCGAGGAAACTGCAAAAGTTATTTCAAACAAGAGGAGAAAAAAAATTACAATTTACATCTCACGAAAAAGAAAACACACTTTGAGATTAATTATATCCCGAGAAAGACAATTACCACAATAAGAGGACATTGAAGTTTGCCTCCTGTACATAATTTTGTAACTTAAGATTTGACTAAAGAAACTAATCAATTCAATTAGGATTAATTTTCACATCACTTATTCTTTACTTTTCCATTTATATTTAGTCTCGTATTTTCGAATGTTTCATCAATCAATATATAATTTTTACACCTTTCACATGATTTATCTTTAGTCACCATTGTGTTAGTAAATGCGAAAAACGGCACGAATAAGGAAATAAATTAAGAATGCAAAAAATAATATAATTAAGAATGCAAGTACAATCATATTATCAGTCATTTTAATGCACAAAGGGAAAGAATAACAGAGAAGAAATAAATCCTGTAAATTAAGGAGTAAGTAGAGTAGAGATTCAATGAAAATTAATTACAGGCCAACGGAAGAGAAAAATCACGTCTGTCTCTCGCGAAAACTGCCAATATTATGCGCGGAATGCAAAAATGTGTGTACCAAAAACTGCATTCACTTGTGTGTTGTGCATCAACGGCGGATACTTTATATTATTGAGGAATATAGACACTCTTGTATGAAAAGTGAAAACAAGGATTCATCTATCCGGTCCCAAACCACCTTTCACTTCCTTTCACATAGAGAAATGTGAGATGTTCTGGGTACAGAATATTGCTCTCACTTCACCTAGCAACGGGTGTGACGGTAGAATTTCGACTGAATTCGATGCCATCGGAAATCTAAGCACCGTGTGTATGGATGACGATGATGGTCCCTCTTTTTGCAATCTCTCTCTCCACCTGTATATTTATATCCCTTACACATAGACAGTTGACTGAAGCCCAGGGAGAAAATATATAGGAAAATACAACACAGGAATAACACTCCCAAATACGACGCACCACCCAAAATCCTTCTCTTCATGCCAATCCCTCTTGAAAAACAACCTCATCCTCAGCCACAGGAAGCAACTGAAAATGTCACTCTTTAGCCCATATACATATACAACATTCACACATCCCACAAGAACTCGCCAACGCAGTCTCTCTGTCTCTCGCAGAAACATCCTTCAGCTCCTTGCCATCTCCTTGCTAACTATTCCCCATCTTGGATATCATGTTGAATTTCCTAGTGGAATTACACTAAATCTTTCGCCTTCACTATTATCAGCAGAGAAGTCTCTATTGCCGTATTCTGTGAAGTCTGAAAGAGATGGTAAAAGCCTCAAAGGAAGAACAGCTTCTTCTCTTTTAGTTGTGTGGATTAGCAATGGATTTTCTATTCAAATATTCATTCAAATTTATCAATGTCTAACATTGAATTGAAAAATGCCATGAAAGACATCAAATTCTAACTAAAACATCGCGCAAAACACAAGAATTCTCATCAATATAAATAGACAAGATATTTTCATTGGCAATTTTGACAAAGATAGCATTTCTAATTTTATTATCAATTCTTAAATACCGTATTCAATGACAATTTAATGACTATATAAAGATGAAAGTGAAAGTGATTAAATGTTTTCCACAAATTGCCACTCATCAATTCAATTGGCAAAGACAGTCGGTCATGGGACTTGCAAAGGAGATCATTGCTCGAAACGATAAAATTACACCTGAATAAAGATATAACAGGGAAATAAATGTGAGAAGAAAATTTTAGGGTGTCTCCTTGCAAAGGTTCCACCCACTCTGAGTTTCCCTATCATTTTTATCACACACACACACAAATCAACACAACACATTCATACATTTTCCCTCCAGAGGAACGCAAAAGAGGAACAACTTCGTCGACTTTTCCCAGCGAGAACACAACCAAACGCAGCATCAGACGAAGAGATCAACATGCGAAATACCGTGAGTGTGACAGAGATGAGGGAAAAGGGATGAAAATTTGCTGTACGGATTGGAGGAAATTCTATCAATTGGGAGAATTCAGGAGCTGCGCCATCACGGCCAGAAATGGCGGCTCGTAAAGCGGGTGGGTTTTTTATGTGTTCCAAAGGAAAATCTATGTGGAAAACGACGATGAGATAAAGTGGAAAATTCAACAACGACTTCAACGCTCAGAGAGTACAGAAAAGTTTTTGCAACAGACATTTTCACGTGAGCAGCAGCAGTTCTCCTCCAATTTACACAATTTTTAACCGGGAAAAACTTTGTTCTGTGTCAATTTGAAAGATGAATAAAAAAAAAGTTGAGTGATATTCGTCAATTAACGTGAAGTTATTGGTTTTTTCGAGTGGCGTTCGTTTCAATTTCATACGTGAGTTTTTGCAATTTTTATTGTAGTAAATAATGTTACAGCATTAATTAAAGCCATTTCTTGCACACCTGAATCATTTTCATCAATTTAATTATCCATCATAGCATAATCTTCTCATTTGATTTCATTTGCATTTCCAAAGGGGACGCGCGCGATTAAAAGAAACACTTTTTCTAATGATATGAGAGAACACGATGGAAAGTTCTTTGTAGACACAAGAAGATTATCTGTCAATTGGAAGGGATTGCATTTTCAACCTGAATTAACATGGAAATAATTTGATAATTTTGTAGGATTTTCGGGGAGGGTTGAAATGCACCACGAGATGATTATTGGAATACCTTTTACGTTAACAATGAATAGAGAGTGTGCTGCATAGTGTAATTTTATACATTCACACTCACACTCGCGCGCACTCAGGGTGGACGATAACCTGGTACCTGTGCCACGAACACGTGCACTCACTGCACACGAGTGTTTTATTGTTAATTCGGTGTTACACACCAAAATAGAGGGGTGCTTCTCTCACATGGTATCAAATATTCATTACAAATTAGACACTAAACATGGGGTTGTCTAACAATGAAAAATCACTCGCTCAATGGAAATATAGTAAGCTTGATGCCAGCATTTCTACACGCCGACCATTAGCAGGTATATCAATTTTACCGTAAAATTACCACAATAATGATGCAAAAGTGTATTAATTACAATTAAAATTTGTCATCGCTCTTTTGTGTATTCAATATCATTTTGTGCATGATGCACAAAATCTGTCGAAGCAGAAATTTTTGCCTATTAATTAATATTCTCATTTATTCACTGGGATTTTAAACACTTGCTTCCAATATTTCAACACAAAAATCCTCCCTCAAAAACACCTATCATTGGATCAAATCAATTTTCTTTGACAAAGAAAGAGAAAAAAAACCCCGAAAAAAGATAAGAATCTCTGAAAACATTATTGAATTTCCTGATTGAGCAATTATAAAAGCAAAACACACTATCTAAACATCTTTGAACTACAAATTTCTCCTGAACATATTCATTAAATCAGCTTCACATACATTTTCCCCTCGTATTCAATTACTAAATAGATGAATTACTGCAGATGTACAAATCATCTATCAATAGGTAACAGATAAATTTATACGGATTCTCTACCTTCCCTTTTTCGAACAACAATATTTCAATCAGATTTAAAGAAGCGTGAAATAGGAAGAGAAATGATAAACTTACCGACTGTTGTGAGCGGAGCATAAGAACGCACTGCGCCTTCAGCTGTAATTTCAATAATTAACAATTACTAATCACATGCCTTCGACATCAGGCTATCATCATAGCAGCAACACGCATTGATAAATTTCTTATCAATCCAGCTTATGTACGTGATTTTCTGATAATATTTTACCATCGAGTTTTATCACAACAAATAAACATAATCCAAAATAGCCAATTATGGATTTATGAATACTTTATTGCTTTATAATAAAGAAGCTGAAGAGTTTATTTTATAGATTTTAATTGGCAATTAAAATAAAAATCAAATTTCACGCTCTTTGCAGTAATCTGGATGAGCTCTCGTTATAAATATTCATTCTAAAGTGGCCAAAAGCTTATCTGAATCTTAATGATGATTATTAAGATTTTATCTGATTCTCAATACCATAAAATAATATGAATTTTTCCCAATTCAAAGGTTTATTGATCTTTAACCACATGGACAGCTTCAAAAGGACATGAAAACTCAACTGTACTCACCCGTGACGGTGATGTAATGAGGGCCAGAATCATTGGGACTGTGCGTCTGAACTACTGCCACCTGGGCAGTCACTTGCTGTGCTCCGGGAGCGACAACAGCTGTCCCATTCGTGGACTCAACAGCATCAGCAGCGACCACAGTGATGGGCGATTCATTGCTCGAGTCCGAGTGCTCCAGCGGAACGACATCAATGACCGACACGCCGCCAGGTGTTGTGGTTGTTTGCAAGATGATCTTCTGCACAGATTCGACACATTATTATAGCATTTCTCAATATCAGGAGAATCAAGAGAACATCAGGAAGACACTGACCTGAGGCAGAACCTGATGGAGGGCAATGGGAATGGTTGTGCCATTAGTGCCAGGACTCGTGGCCTCCGTTGTCACCGCAATAGCATTGTCACCATTTGAGGAGGAGGGAGATGTCATTGTCACAGTTTGAGATGCAGGAGACACATTGCCTCCCTGACTAGAAACCGATGTTACTGCCACAAAATTCCTCTGAGTTGCCAATCTTGCAGCCATAGTTACAAATTAATCCACTCGTCTAGAGCCTCTTTTTGTCCTTCCACTTGGACGAATTCCGCTCCTCAGATCGTCAAGACTGTCCGCGCTATCATTCAATGCGACATTCGACATAAAAATGAGGAATCTTCACTGCATTTCCGGCATTTCCCATCTCTGGAGAATGTGAAATCCGAAGAAATTATCTGCAAAGATGCGATGAAACACAATGCATTAGGAACAATACTTTACAACTTGAGCACTTTCAGCAATGACACATAGAAATGTATGTATTTCATTTTCAAGGATAAACACAGGGCATTTCAGTGGGTAAAGCAGAAAAATTTCTGACTTTTTCTCTTGTCCTCAAGGACTTCTGTGACATGACAGAAACACCCTGTGAAAGACATTCAGCACAAAGTGATAAAATTAAATGTGAATTTCAGGTATTTCATATCATGGACCAGAAAACATGAGATTTGAAGGGTGTTGCTAAGAGCTGCGATCATCATCTTGCCAAAGGTATCACGGTAACCATGACAAGTTGTCAGGGAAACTCCAAAACCACCGGAAAATTCGTCTTCTCATCGGGAGGCACTCTTGAAGAAGACAAAATAAATATCACAGCTATTCTCTCTTCTTGTGGCACAAATCAAATTTAAGCTTTCATCCTTCCGAATCTCCACAAACTTTTCCCTCCTGCGAGAGTCATTTGTTTCTCACCTCAAAATGTTCAACATCAAAAGATCACCGGATAATTCATTCGCAGTCAAGCGGGAGAAAATCTACCTTCTTGAGCAAAAAAGGGGGAAAAACATCACACCACTGTTTGAATCTGCATTGAATCTCTGCACTGTTAACTTTGGGAAAATTGTTGAGCAACTTCATTCACTAATTTCCACAAAATATAAAGGAAAACAGCAACATTTCTTCCATCATCCACCGCGAAAGCTTCCTCCTCAACTGAATAGCAACAAACAGACATTGTGTTATTGATCAAATAAACTTCTACCACTCCGACAATATTTCAATCCTTATTAACAATTCCTCATTCACGAAACATTCGGCGCCATCGATGGAAAACATTACGAATCCCAGTTTTTTTTTCTTTACAGCTCAAGCGAGAAAGACCACAATTTTTACCCCCCCAAACAACATGTAAATATATTCATTTAGGAGATATTTTCCAGTGAATGGACAGAGAATTTTATGGAAATGAGCAAAGAGAGGCAGTTTGTCCGCAGATTGCCGTCACCACGAGACTTATTGAGACTCAAAGGCACGCGTCCAAAATTAACCCTCAAGCAAAAGAGTGGACAAAATTATCTGTTTTCAATTTGATGAATTTTGAAGGAAAGAATTTGAGATTTTCGTTAAACACAGTCAATAATAGGCAAAAGGACTCTTATTATTTGCTAGAGAATTCGCCATCAAGAATGCAGATCATTAACCAATGCATTTTTGCTGTAAATCTTCATTCAACTGTAAATTTATCTACAAACAAACACCGAAAATGCAATGTGCTGAGTCAGAAGGAAGCACAAAACTGCCCTGACCGAATTGGAGGGTTAAAAGAGGATATTTCTGTGCATTCGCGTGAAAGGATTGGCGGGTCTCGAGGTCTTTTTGTCCCTCAGCTGCGCCGTGGACAGGTGCTTTATGTTTTGCTGGCGTAAACAATATGTGTGAAGGCGAGAGGGAGGGCGCGCGCTCTCACCACGCATTCCCACACCAGGCGCACACCTGGACAGAGAGACACATCAGACAAGGGGGAACTGCGCGAGTCCTCCGCCCACGCGGACGATTCCCCGGAGCCTTTGAGGTCGTCCCGGAGTGCTGAGGAGACGCGCTCTCCCTGAGAGATAATTGCCTGATTACGGTGTCCTGCTCTGGAAAATTGAGACAGTAATGAGCAAAAAGTGTTTTAATTGCTTCCTTGGCGGATGAATGTCAGAGTAATTAGCAACAGCAGCTGGAAGATTCCTCCTGGGACAGACTTTTCCCTCCTCAAGAACACAGGGATTAGTGCAGCCATACGGAAGGAGATTTTATCGAAGGATTCCCTACAAATTTCCTTATTTCCCAATTTGTCAGCCTCAAATTAACTCCGATGGTGAACTTTTTTCAAGATTACCTTGAGAAGTTTACACAAAAGAAAATAACTTGACCTCAGCCAAACATCAGCAATTGCCATAAAGACACTCTTGTATATTATAATGTTTATTACGAGGTTTATTATCGATTTTTTTCTCCCACAGAATCTTATACAAAATAGAATTCAGATTTTCCTCCCAAACACACCTTCAATTCACCATAAATTGCACACAGATGCGCAATTTAGGTGGAAAAACTAGTCCCGGGCCTAGTTTTTCTGGCCAATTCCCTGGAAAATGCTCTCAGGGCCCCGGAAAATTCCCTGCAACTTGAAACGTCACAAGTGACTTTGACAGGTTCTCATTGCGTTTTTCCGCCCTGAAAAATCCATCCCCCACCCAAAATCCCAACAATTTCCACTTTCCATCGGCAGAAAAAGCCTTTACCTGATGTGGGGGGACATTTTCCGTCCACAGTGAGACTCACGGAGCCCCGGGAAATGGGGGAAAAGTGTCTTTTTCCCCACCCATTCTCGCGACGGAGATTGACAGGTCACTTTTTTGCTCGTTGCAAAACTTTCGGGTCACTTTTCACGACCACACAATACGGGAAAACAATCACAGCACGATGAAGAAGTGATTTCCACGGCAAATCAGCACGTGGATGGAATTTCAGGTGATTTTTTCACGAAAAACTCCGGCCAATTTTTTCACTTATTTGTTTTTCTCGGTTGCTATGGCGTTTATGCACCGCACTGAAGTTTTTACCCCGAAAAGTGGAAAAGTCTTTCAAAATGACCGCTGTTACACAGTAAATTGCAGCAATTTGTCGAATTTACTTGGCTTTCGGAATGAATATGGAGATTTGGTGAAACGTTTCTGGGGATGATTTTAGTTTCTTTCTAAATAATTATATGAATTAAACTACTTAAACTTGTATTTCCCAGGGAAAATTGATTTTCCGCACTGAGTTGTTTTCTGTGCAGTGTTTTTTCAGGTGTACCAGATGGGAAAGTCTGCAGATCACACACGCAGCACCCTCTTACATGTGGTCAGAAAAATATGGATGTCATTTTGTCTGCTTTTAGGCGTTTTACAACATAGGGGATGATTTTCGCGCTGTTTCCAGGACAAATTGAAATATTGAAGGATTCTCAAGGATATATGAATTACTATGCAGGCATGAAGAACGTGAAATAGACAGGGAGTCAGTGGAAAAATGAGGGTTGAGCAGCTTTTCTCGACCTCATGGTTGATTATACGAGAGGGTTAGTCATTCAATTTTCTCTAACTTGCTGAAGGGAAGGCAGGAAAACAGACAAGGGGTGGTGAAACTGCCCCATAAATTGCCCCGAAGATGGGTGATTGGCCGTGTCATAAAAACTGAGTGAGTGTCGGCAGAAAAATCCCCTTCAAACGCTTGTTCTTCTCGCCAACAATGTTCAAAGTCAGTGAAAATGAAAGACAGCCTCTTTTGCACATTATATGAACTTGTCCGGACAAAGTGTTTTCTTCTTACGATGTGGTTAGCAAAGCGTATAAAAGTATTAAGCTAACAGCATAAACAGAAAATACAAAAAATACAAAAGATGCTTTTCTTTCTTCTTCTTGTTTTCTTTTCGAAGGTGTTTGAGAGTGAAAAATTCCAATATTTTCATAGTTTTCTATGGCAATATATTTGAAACCCCTTTTCGCGCCAATAAATTCTGGGGATCTGGGGAAATTGAGAATTTCCCTGAACTCACACGCGTCATGCGATAAAACTCATGACAATTTCCCATCCCTTTTCAGCATGACAGTAGAATTTCTCTGATGGGCGAACATGAGAAAATCACACAGCGGTATGATTTTCTCATGTTTTCTGATAAAACGTGGCCGTCGCAAGTGCGTCGGCGTCGCGAAAAGTCGCACCAACACAGAGGCGCGCCTTCTCGGTCTTCCAGGAAACTCACGAGGGAGTTGGATGGTGTGTGCGTGTGTGTGAGTGGCTTTTCCAGCCTTTCCACGCAATCGATTTACTCTGCGACGACGCCGTTGTGGGCACGGGCTGTTCTCGCCACCATTGCACTGGCACTGGAATCACGAGCACGGGAGAGAGTGTCGAACCGTCAACGGAAGCAGGCAGAGAGTGGACATTTGTAGGCTTCCTTCAATAGGAAAAATCATCTCTCTTCACTCATTACCTCTGCTCTGCCCCCAATCGTCACGCCACAGTGATTTCGTGTGAAAATCCGCGCAGAGACACTCACGAGACGTGCTCGATACACGCAGATGGAGTGTTGTTAACCCCAGAGCCAGTTTGAGGATGTGAAAGACTGACCTTTGGCTGGAGAAAATTCAAATTGGAGGACCTTTTGGTGCAGATGAGGAGCCTAAATTTGGGGCAAAGTGAGAAATTTGTAGGTCATATCGTGGTCATTGGCTGGTTGTGAGTGATTAAGTTTCAGCCAGAGTGAGGCTCTTGCGGTGAAAATCGGCAAATGGTGGTGGTAAAACACTCCCTCGACGGTCAGGAGGCACGCTAAAAAGACGGTGAACAATTTCAGTGGATGTGTCGTGGCTGCGGGAAAGAGGTAATTTTCCGCCCCTTCGCCAGGACTGAAAAGTGAATGAAAGTGCTTCTCTCTGCATTTCCCTCCGCTGGTGGGATGATTGGTGAAAAGTCCCTCGTGATGCTGGGCGCGCGTGATGGACTGGCGATGACGGGGGGGTGAAAAGGGGTCACGGAAGCGCCATGGTTGCTCCAAACTGCTCCCTCGTGACTCCTCAAACGCTCCCCGCATGAATTTTTCACGAGCACGCTCTCAGTCGGAAAAATGTCGCTCGCCGCTGGAAAATGGATGATGGAGTCGTTGAGTTATTTCCGGGTGATTTTTTCACACCAACCCGAAAAGCTCCGCCGTGGCCACTTTTGTCGTACTGACGGGGAGGTTAGGATTTCACATGCGACTGGGTGAAAATTGTCGAGAGACACCAACCGCCCCCCTTTAATCGTATTCTATAATTCATTCGACATTTTATTCTCGACTCCGGAGCGATTGTATTGACGTGGGTGGGCCGCTGTGGGTGAGCTTTCGTTGGGGAATAGGTTAGATCGGGTGGAATGGGTGGCCGATACCGAGGAGCTTTTGGAAGAGCCGACGTCGACGCTCGTGGGGTGAATCGATCGGCCTCTCCCGAACCACTCCACAGAGAGAGAGAGAGAGAGTGAGAGAGGGAGAGAGGGCCAGACAGGGGGAGACCTAGGCTCTTCCTCTCACACACACTCACACACTCGCACTTTCCCATATTTTCCGAGCCTTCTGCACACCGAAAAATCCCCGCGCGCGCGGAAAAAATGCCCAAAGAGAGAGAGGAAAGGAAGGAAAAAAAAACATCCAATTCGTATATGAAGGAGGAAGTTGAAAGGCGGCAAAGACCATCCAAAGGAATTTCTATCCGGAATCTGAAATATAAATTTAACCCCGAGAGTGGGAGGTTTTCCAATGGAAAAACCAGACCCTCTTCGTCAAGAGATAATCTCCGTGTGTGTCGAAGTTCACAATTTTCTTCGGCGACGAGCTGAAAATTTGGTCTAAGACTTTTCGTGCATATCGATCGTGTTTTATGGGTATTTCTCTCTCTCTCTCTCTCACCCTCCATCCCCATGATGATTAAAATAAACACACGGAACACAATCAACAACAGGCCAATTAATAAGACAAATTTCTGTGAGATTCTCCACCCTATTTGACTTTCTTTTTTCCCACGAAGAAATTGCCCTCTCTCGACGACTGAAATGACAGAAATCACGGGTGATTTGCCTGCAATTTTCTCTAAAATACTACCTAGAACTGTTTATGTCTACATTTCAGAGGGAAACCTACACAAAATCTTACAAATCGATCGTCGTAGCGCTATAAGAATTCCAACTTCTAATTAACCGCCAATCTGCGAGTGTTATTTGGGTTTATTTTAATTTGTTGGCAAACTTGCAAATTACACAATTTTATTCCCATTTTATTCACAAGATTATTCCTATGCAAGGAAAGTTTTAGACAAATTGAGGAAACTTTTAAAATTACACTCACAACAGGATTTTGGAAATGTCTGGCTTTGATTTACAAACAATTTTTATTTTATCAAATTGCATTTAGTCTGATTAGTTTGGATGAAATGAAAGGCGATAAAAATCCTGTTTAAAAATAATTGTAAAGTTTTCGTTAAAAAATCTCTGTTTAATGTTTACATGACACATTTTATCAAGTCAAATATTTTAATTGAAACAATGTATTGTGAAAGTTGTGTTAAAACATTCAATTAGAGTTTCACGAAGTTTAAACTAAATAAAAGTTTTACTAAAGCCGGAGATTATAGTATTTTTTTTCGTAGAGAAAAGTTTTACAGCCACAATTAAGGTTCAACTCTGAGTTTGCTAAGCAATTAGTTGTGAATAATTCTTATTTAAAAAAAATATATAATTACCAAATATGAGAAGAAATTCGCGCTTTCAAACACAAACTTTCGCTTTAGTCAGAATATTTTTCTTCTCTAGTCTCACTGTAATTAGTTAGAAATTATGTAATTTGAGGGGAGAAAAACAGTCAACAGATAGAAACAACAAATGACTAAAAATAACCTGAATTGTTTCAAGGATTTGTGAGAGGAACACGAATAATTAACTTTTCGTGAAGTTAAATAAAACAAAAATCAGGATGAAGGATCACTGTTTCGTCCACCTTTTGCCCCACAATTAAAAGTCCCGAGAACACTTACCCTCTGCGGGTGTATTTTTAGATGGAGCTCCGTGATATTCTCATGCGAGAGAATTACTTTAATTGAAGTCCTGGCGGAAGCGATGAATTAAATGTAACCCATATCCATTTTGCCACCCCCATTCCACCGATTGCTGCGAGAATTCATCATATTCCATCCCGACGGGCGGAATGATAAATCAATACTCGCAATCGCAAATGTAATTCCATTGTAGTGGCGCTGGTGTTGTAGTTGTAATAAGATAAGAAACGTGGAAAAGAGCGGAAGTGGAGTGAATTGAATTTGTGAGATTTACGATTTGCCAAGATATAAGTGTAATTCTCCACCTTTTAGTGTGTAATTGATAGCTTTTTGGGCTGTTTATGTGTTTAGTTTCGCCTCGCTCCGGCCCTCGTCCTCTTCCGGCACCACAGGAAAGATTGTAATATGTCAGTGAGACGACAGTTGGCGACCAATTGGATTCGTGATAGTCATTCGGCCGCCGCCGAGGGTCTCAGTGGACTGGGCAGCGTGGCGAGGATTGTGATCACGGCCAGGATCTACTAATGCAGTGGCGGAAGTTCACGCGACTGAAAGCTGCTACTGGACATTCGCGTACGCGAAGAATGCTTTGCTGTGGACGGAGAAAGGTGAGCTTTTCCTTTCCAAATTCCATCACATTCTGCATATTTTTGTATGTATTAAATCTCTTTTCAAATGTCGGAAGAGCAAACTAGTCCAAATTCCTCGATATTGTGTGTAGTTATTATTATGAAGAGTGAAACTTTGTAACAAAAAAAAATCACCCTCATAAACTTGTAACTTCTGCTGATGGCAGTTTTATCCAGGGAAACTCACTGGATGAGTTGAAATCAAGGAGGAGATAATGTGCCTTAAATCTAGAACTTGACAATATTCTCCATATTATAATGTATTTCTTAAGTTTCTATCCGATATGTCTGAAAGAATCCATTTAGAAACGCATTTCTAGACATCTTTTCTGACCATAACCTCAAAATATCACTAAGCGATCTTTAAAATGCCGTTTGAAAACTTTCTAGAACACAAAATCATCTGGTTATTATTTGCTAATGGACTCAGAATTATTGATTCAGAGTAAAAATCATGCAGAAAATTTTCTATATGAATATTTTTCAAGTTCTAATGCCTATTTTTGAGGTTATGTTCAAGCTCAATGCAATTTGCAGTGTTTCTTGACATCAAAGATGCAGAAAAGCAATCTCTCCGATTTGAGAATAAGAATGGATGTGCTAGAAGGCGAATTATTCACTAAATCTGTCCCTAATTTCTTACAATCCCAGGAAAAAGATTTTTATGATTGATTCTGCGTGAAAATTGAAGGAAATGACTGTATTATCTCCCCCTTGGTTGAAATAACGAGAAACAAGTTATATATTTCGATTTTCTAGGAAGAGAGCGAACTTTGCTAGAAATTATTGTAACTATTCCCGACATTTATTGTTTCCTTCTTTCTCTCTCAGATATTTTATCTGAAAAATCCCTACAACTTCCTCGCGGCGGTTTGGAAAATACCTCTTGATTATTTTCTATTTGTGACCGCGATATTGTGTTGTAAAAGCCGCGGGAAATTGGAAATACTATAGTGCTGCTCACAGGGGAGTGAGTTCCAAAATGGGAATTTAAATAATAATGAAAGAATTATCGTGTCCACATTATTCAAATATTCCCCTCATCCGTCCGAGCGCCAGTAAAATCGGAGAAACACACACAGGACATGGAATTGAATCACGAAATGTGTCCACTGGCGTTTCTCCTCTGTACAAAAGTCATTGATTTCGGTGCTCGGCGAGACGCCCTTCCACCCACACGATCGATTTCCCGGCGTGACGTCACAGGCAGGGGCTGAGGGGGTCGCCCCTTGTGTGATTGATAAGGTGCGAGTCCATTGCCGAGCATTTCGGATTGTGTTCTGCGCCCTGGAGCCGCGACTCCCGTGCAAATGGCCCAAAAACGGGGGGAGAATGACGATAGTTTGCGGCACAACTTCCCAAATGTGATTGTTTTCAGGGGTGTTTAAGTTCTGGATTTGCTGTTTTCTCTCTCTATATGAATTTCTGTGTGGTCACACAGAGTTGCAATGCTTGCAAAGCATGCGAAGAAAGTATGAATTTGCAAGTAGGAGAAAATCAACATCAAACATTTCTCATACAGTGCAGTCTGTGCAGGCAAATATAATTCCAGTTGACGAATTGACAGCCCCCGGGAGTACTTTAGTTAAGGGCGAGCGCTTCCCATTGTGGCGCACTAATTATACAAGAGGCCAGAGTAGGGACGGTGCTGGAGCAAACATTAAAATTTTACGCTCTCAATGGTCATTAAACACTCACATACACATTTCGTTGGGCATTTTAGATGTACAAGCGATGGGAAAATAGAATAAAAGCCCCTCGAGGGTAAGTCAATTGTGGGGAAGTTAAGAAAAATGCTCGACGCGAATCATTAGGCTGAGAGAGACGATGACCAAAGTAAGAGAAGGAACAATGAAAAAGCCATTAGAATTTAAGGGAGAGTGAGAGAGAGAGAGGGAAAGATAGAGAAAAATGGGAAATCTCATTGATTTCCGTCTCATTTCAATTAAGCCAAGTCATTCCTAAATTATTGTTATTAAGAAATGTCTCCAGGAAATTACAGCTCAAACAACTTTTTCCCTGGCTGTTGTTTTTTCTTATTCGCCCCAGTCCTTTTTCCTCCCTTCTGGTCTCTCTTTCTCTTGTTGAGTTGGGAAAAGATTGGAGGACGGAAACTGTACATCTTCCAGCACTGATGCTGAAGACTTTGCTGAAAGTTGTACGACCAGGGATTATACAACAAAATGTCTTCCCAGAGGAGTTTAATTAAAAGTATATGAATATTGGCTCCGGATTATGTTACTATTAAATGATAAATCATCAATTTTGGCCGTGTAGCCAGATTTTGCCTAATGAAACTTTAATTAATAATATCCTGTACATTTGCATTTTGCCATTCGTAACTCACAGTGCTCAATGAGTTTCTTCATCTCTCGAGAAATTATTTCGCCCCGGAGTTATTTCTCCATCTCACCATGCTTCGGGAATCTTTTGTGCTCGTCTTATCCCCGGAGATATGGCAATTAAATTTCACAAAGAGAAGGATAACAATTTTCGGTAATTTAATTAGGACTGAAATCTGATCAATGGGACAGAAAAAGCAAAAGAGAATTATACTCTTGGGTTGTCATGGCGCTTTTTAACATTCCACAGCATTCATGGAGGAGGTGGAAAAGTAGATTAATCCATCAGAAATTTAATACAAGCACTTTAATATGCTAAAACTTTAGTGGATTGAAAAATTTGCGAAACTTTCATCGCAACATTGAACCCTTTCAATGTTTGTCTATCTCTTCAGTCAAGTGCTTGTTCCTTCACTTCATCGCCATTTACCATATATACTGTAAATTCATCTTGTAAGCTCCGAAGACAAGTGGAGTTTCTCTGGAATATTGCCTTGAGAAGGGGTAAAATTCTGCGTTTGTCTGCATGTTATTTCAAACGGGAACATGTGGATTAATGGAGTAATTATACAAATTTTCCTTCGGAAAATGTAATTGAATTTTAATGAATATGCATTTTACTCTGCTACTTGTATACTGGAGTCTTCTGGGAAAAATTGCGCGGAGTTGACAAATGTTTGTTGAGAAAATTGTACTGCCTTCAGTCTTCACCATGTTGATTTATGTTTTTTTTATTTATAGGACGAGAGATTATTTATTAACAGGAAAAGAAATTGCTTCCAACTTAGATGATGTTGACAGTGGGAGACTTCTTGGCAACAATCATTATATGATCTTCTGCGAACATGACTTTTGCCAAGGGTGACACTGGAGAGTTCTTTCTCATGCACGCGCGTCTTTCCAAAGCTCGGGTGACTTTCTTGTGAAAAATTTCTGCATTTCACCCATAAATTGCAGTTGAAAATGGCGTAGCTCTAATGCACAATTTCACACACTGAAGCCGATTTGCTGGCTGGAGTGGAAATGGGTGCACATGTGAGAGGCACCATGTGCAGCATTCCAAATGTCCATCTTAGCCACCCTCTGCATGCAGCATCTCGCGAAAAAAAAGGTGGCAACGAGCATTAAGATGAGTCGGTTTGATAAACTGCTGCCGCGGGAGCACTGAGCAGGAAAGAGATGGAGTTTATTTTTTATACAGAAATACCCCACAAATTATCTGAAGAGAGCATTCTCATGAACCCAGACCAGGTTCACCACTCACCTAAATTGTAGAGTAATTTATATGTGGCAATGAAGAAAAACGTTCCTTTTTTGATGATACACTTTTCACAACTTTTATCCCACCATTTGTGTGTGTGTGTGTGTGTGTGAAAATGGCATAATATCCTTGCACTTGTGAATTAAACAATCTATAAAATAACAAAGTCATATTAGATTACAGACATTAGCCGCAGAACACTTTTTTCTTTGCTATTTGAAATTGCAGAAGTAAATAAAGGAAAGGAAACTACTGTGAAAATGAAAAGGCTTTTATGTTTATGTTGTCCTTCTTTAAGTAATATAATTTTTGCTGTGCATTAAAATGCTCTAATGACTCTCTAAAACGTCAGGTTTTTGCAGCATGTTAACACCTTAAAATATTTACTTAATTTGTTTTCTCAGCACACATAAAATCGGCAACACTGCCACTGCTAGTACGTGAAGTGTAATTATTGAATGGAGTGATTTTTTAATGAGGCTCTCTCTGCTCGCGCAACGACTATTCTGAGAAACTCCTACAGTTTTCTGTGTGGACACTTGGTTCACGCGAATCCCATTGCATGCACTGCAGGTGGATTTTCACGTGAAATACCGTGAAGTCTGTCTCCCACAATTAAGCCCACACACACACAATTCGTGACCGAAAAATGACGTTTTGAGTTCAATGAGGGAAATTGTGTATGCAAATTTGGGAAAGGTGTGGGCGCAAAAAAGTTGTATTGTTTGCAGAGTTTTTATCATGCCCAGGGGTTGGAGAGATAAAGTTTTAGTGATTTTATTTAACCCGGGTGAAACATTATGGAATTTTGCCATGCAGGAATTGCTGAAACTGTTTTGGTGGAGGATATTTTCCGAAGCCATGAGAAGGACTTCTGCCTCGAGGCAGTGACCTTTTACTCCACATTCCCCATTCATGGCCACCCCCTCGTAAATTCACAATCTCCACCCTTCGCCTCTGAGAAAATTAATAATCTTGTGAAGCCCCAAGAGGGAAAAAAGGCGACATCATCCAACGCAGATATGGCATTCTTGGTCATGGGGAAAATATGTGCTCATTGAAATTTCCCACTGTGAGTGGGATGATTTGAAGTTCATCCAACCACTCTCGAAAATTATCTCTTGTATCTCACAGCCTTTTGTTTACGACAGTCTCGGAATAGAGATGCTTCAATTGTCGCTTATGTGGTGCTTTGCAGTGAATTCGGGGTGGTTTTTTCTGGGCTCTTCATTCGCTGCCAAGCTTGAGGGCTGCTGCGTGTCCCGGAGAAGACTCTCCGTCTGGCGCCAGACTCTCGGAGGCCGCATGCTCTCGCGCCATCACTTAAATTGCAACCACCATAAAATGGTCCACATTATGTCCTTTTATTGCAGACT